TCGAGGAGGCGCCCGCCCTGAAGATCATCCAGGACGGAGCCGCCCTGCTGCGTCAGGAGAAGACGATGATCGATATCGAGGCGCCGGTGACGGTGTGCGGCGATATACACGGCCAGTTCTACGACCTGATGAAGCTGTTCGAAGTGGGCGGATCGCCCGCGAGCACCAAGTATCTGTTCCTGGGCGACTACGTCGATCGGGGCTACTTCAGCATCGAGTGCGTCCTGTATTTGTGGTCGCTGAAGATCACCTATCCGCAGACGCTGTTCCTGCTGCGCGGCAACCACGAGTGCCGGCACTTAACCGAGTACTTCACCTTCAAACAGGAGTGCAAGATCAAGTACTCGGAGCGCGTGTACGACGCCTGCATGGACGCATTCGACTGCCTGCCGCTGGCGGCGCTCATGAACCAGCAGTTCCTCTGCGTGCACGGCGGCCTCTCGCCCGAGATACACGAGCTGGAGGACATCCGGCGGCTCGACCGCTTCAAGGAGCCGCCCGCCTTCGGCCCCATGTGCGACCTGCTGTGGTCCGATCCGCTGGAGGACTTCGGCAACGAGAAGAACTCGGACTTCTACACGCACAACTCCGTGCGCGGCTGCTCGTACTTCTACAGCTACGCCGCCTGCTGCGACTTCCTGCAGAACAACAACCTGCTGTCGATCATCCGGGCGCACGAGGCGCAGGACGCCGGCTACCGCATGTACCGCAAGAGCCAGACCACCGGCTTCCCCTCGCTGATCACCATCTTCTCGGCGCCCAACTATCTCGACGTGTACAACAACAAGGCGGCGGTGCTGAAGTACGAGAACAACGTGATGAACATCCGGCAGTTCAACTGCTCGCCGCACCCGTACTGGCTACCCAACTTCATGGACGTGTTCACCTGGTCGCTGCCTTTCGTGGGCGAGAAGGTCACCGAGATGCTGGTGAACGTGCTGAACATCTGCTCCGACGACGAGCTCATGACCGAGGAGAGCGAGGAGCCGCTCTCCGACGACGAGGCGGCGCTGCGCAAGGAGGTGATCCGCAACAAGATCCGTGCCATCGGCAAGATGGCGCGCGTCTTCTCAGTGCTGCGCGAGGAGTCCGAGTCGGTGCTGCAGCTGAAGGGGCTGACGCCCACGGGCGCCCTGCCCCTCGGTGCCCTCTCCGGCGGCAAGCAGTCGCTGAAGAACGCCATGCAGGGCTTCTCGCCCAACCACAAGATTACCTCGTTCGCGGAGGCCAAGGGCCTGGATGCCGTCAACGAACGGATGCCGCCGCGGCGGGACCAGCCGCCCACGCCCAGCGAGGATCCGAATCAGCACAGTCAGCAGGGCGGCAACAATGGGGCAGGACATGGGTAAGCTGTGCCAACTAATGCGGCTGCAGGACGAGGATGCAGATGCAGATGCGGCACGGAGGAGTCTGGCGAGGAGTGGTCTGGAGGAGGGGCTAAGTGGAGCGGAGCGGAGGCAACACAAAGAACACCAACCGAACGGAACCTTAATTAAACTTAATGTGGCAGAGCAACAACTTAAATACTAAAACCAATTCTAATTCTAAGTACTTGTCATAACCCCCTGCATTTCGTAAGTGATCCCGCACCAGCTCCATGCCCATGTCTATGTCCATGGCCCAGAGCCTCCAAACCGACGGCACGGAGCAGAGATTTGTTTTTACGCAGGCGCGCGCACATTGGATATTAGAATTATGTGTGGCATACTTTGGCGCGCCGGCCCCCAAGGAGAATTCCCTTTCTCGATAGCAGAAAACCAACCCCATAACGTAACCCATAACCTAGCTTAAGTTGTAATGTATAAACTGAAATGGGCAGATTTTAAAATGGAAAATGAACAAAACCGAAAAAAAAGCAAACCGAAACCCCTCCCTGCGATAATTTAAGAAGAAGCGAAGAACCCAATTCCCCAGAAGCAAGAAGCACTAATCTAGTTGAAGATATGGGAGAAAATCCAGCGCTAATCTGTTCCAAACATTTAGCAGCGCCAAAATGAAGCGTACATATATGTATACATATGATTATTTAGAAATATCGAAGCGTAGTGCCGAGATGCAACCGAAAGTGTAATGAAATTTGAAATGAGCAAAAGGTAATTTTTGTAATAATCGTAATCCTTGAACTCTAGAAATGTAATCTTGCATAGAAACAAAAGAAACAAGCAAACATTTTCGAAACCATTCGCAATATGTGCCGCAATAGTCCATAAATGTTCCTTATACGAATTAAACATTGAAAGTGAAATCAGAGTTTATTTTTTTTTTAATATATGCTATAATATATATATATGTATAATTGTTGCATAATCTAACTTTCGACTTAATATGTTACATTTTACGTGTACGACTGTGTGTGTATAACTATTTGCGTTTTATCAGTTGCTTGGCGAACAAAAATCAAACGGCAATATGCAAACAAAATGCAATGCAAAACCCATGCGATCATAAGATTGTAAGATCATAATCGTTGTTTGAGAATCAGTCTAGCTAATTAACTAATTGATGAATAGGATCGATTTACATTGACGTGAATGCATTTTAAACACTGAAAGACGGATCGTTTACCATTTAAATAGCAAATCAAATATTTAACTATTAAATTACTGTGTAAACCTAATAACGTATAATATATTTCTGCGTGTACATTGAACTAATTGAAGATTAACTAATTTAGCGAATCGATTTTTGTTGAGAGAGAGAGAGAGAGAGAGAGCGCTAGTACACACACAAAACTAATTTCCTTTGACTTAGAAAGAGCTAATTGCAATGAGATTAGGCGAATGAGATGTATTTAAGTAAGTATAAGGCATGGAACACATGAGAAACAAACGAGTTTCGGCGTTTCAGATCAATTCAATGATAATGATGGCAATCAATTTCTCAATTTCCGCCTACGCCTGCTCCCAAACTGATGACATCAGCTTCTCCTTTATCACTATCACTATCAATACCAAATCAAAATATATACTCACGCAAGAAATGCCTTCATCGAGATCACGTTATCCACATCCCAAGAATATTTACGCTGTACTTTGCTTCGACTCTTCAACCACGAATAATTGCATTGAACTCTAATCTAAATATTTATACAGATATATATATATATATATATACCGAGTTGACATTGGAAAACAGTTAGTTTTAGTGATATATGCACGTATCGTAACAATACCAAGATTAATTAAATCGTAGCTAAAAGAAACAAATCAAGGATGAGCGGCAGTCTAGGAGGGGAACTTAGCTTTTATAAAACAGATGGAAAATTGGAAAACAACTTACTCAACTAATTGAGAGTACACCACATACCACATATATATATATATATATATATATATATAGCGTTTTTTAATCCGCCACCACAACTAAATATGTAATTATTGAAAAGGTGATGAGGAGAGGGACGTTTAAGTTTCAAAGTTTCTGTTCTCTATATGTATGGTTAAAATTGTTGATGTTGTTATACCGCAAATGCATACTTAGTTAGTGCTGAATGAAATGGGTATTGCCCCCAATTATTCAGATTTAATTGCAATAGTCTCGAGTATTGAACGCAAGAACACCAACACCAAAGAATGATTGTATACACTCAGAAAACCAATCGGCATTCAATGCTCGAAAATCGCCGCACTTGCAATTGTCGAACGTATTTCCAATAAGTACGAATTTTCCTGCTAAAATAATGAAATTGAAAACTACATTTAATATTGTTAGCCAATAAACAAATGTTTTTGATGGGCAGCATTTCAGGTATAATTTTAGCATAATTTTTAAACACGAAAACAATTTGTTATTTCAATTGTTAATATCAAAATATTTCTAGGTCAACTTTGAATTCTTATTTTTTTTTAATATAGTTTAATCATGAAAGGGACTATATATTTTAAGCCATTAAACGTAGGGCAATATTCAGATAGCTTTTGAAATAAATTAATTGTACATTTTGGATTTTTAGGGCGATTTGCATTCAGAGTGTATCAAAAGCCATGGTAGAGCATAAAGCTATGAAGTATTAATAATTCTACACTATGTATGACTAACAATACATTTGCTTAGTTCCCTCAATAAAGAAAGTAACTACCGCATGAGGCATAGGCAACACTTCCTGGCACATAGTAAAATTAAATAAATGAATAGAAGGGCTAAGGAGATGAGTAGATTTTGATAATACGTCAAGACCATACCAACATACTAATGGGAACTATTAAAAAGCATTAAAACGTTCAATATTACGCATAATACCCAGACAAAAGCAGAATCAAAAATGCGGGAACGAGACGGCTGCATGGTATATACATACATATATAAGACATTTCGCCTCTTAAAGCAATTATAAAGATAACAAATGAGTAATGTTTATTATATTATTAAATTATACATACAAATACATACTATATAAACGAAATAAAATAAATCAGCAACAAACTTTCCATATTATGGCGGTCGATCATTTCATCTTCTGTCATTGTCATTTTCGACAATTTTCCCTTTTTTAATTTCATAGTTTCTGATGCCGAAATTCTGCTTTTCTTAAAAATCACAATCCTTAAAAAACATACGTGTATTTGGCGCCCGACTTTGAACCTGTTCTTAGTTTTTGGGGAATCCCCGCTAGAAACTCAAATCCAGGAACAGTTTTTCCACGTCTGAGAGTGAGCGAGAGGCAAGAGAGCAAATAAAAAATACCAGAAATCGAGTATTTGTGTGAGTTTCCTGCGGTACTAGTTCTACAGATGGCGGCAATTTAAAAGCAATTTAAATTAAAACAGCATCAGCAAATGTTTTACATTTGGCTTAAGTGTTACCAAGTTTCTATATTATTTTATCGTCTATATTTGGGAATTTTATCAAATGGCATATTTTAGAGGTCTCAGTAAGGTTCACTTCAATAATAAACTTCAAAAAATAAACTTTGACAACTTCACTTATCATTTCGAATTGTTCTGAATTGTAGAGCATCCCAAATTAATTAAATGTTTGACGGCGATAAAACAACAAGTAAGTGCATTTCTTAAACGTATTTAATCGGTGCGTAAACACAGCGATCATTTATTTTGATGTAAAATCCACATATTTAATATGCACACTCAAAACATGAAATTCTTTGTAAAGTCAAAGACAAAAGTCCTCCTGCTCTTAGAATTATTGGTAAATATGTAACAAAGAAATGTCTATTTTGTACAATTGAAAGCAATTGGTGCGATTCTTTCTTATGTTTGATAACAATAATAGCGTACATTCAGTTCTGGCTTATACGTAAAATAGATACATTCGATTATAGATAAGGTTGTTGATTTTGTCACTTCATGGAAATCATCTGCACGATTTTGGTCCCAAAAACACCTTGCTCTTGGAATTCTTAGCTCCAACCTGGGGGTCCTAAAGGAAAAAGTTGTTTTGTATTTAGTGCATCTAACAAGGCAACTTATTGATAGCAACATACAAAAATCGCAGTCGACGCACAAGTCTTTTTCACTGATTCTTCAGTTTTTCAAACTTCTTTCTTTTGCGTTTCAATGTCCGTTGGCAGTTACCGTAAGAAAATTCCATTTCAAATCCTTTCTGGGTGCAGCTAAACAAAATTTGCGAATTGGCAATTAAACTGCTCATCTTTTCGACGGGGCTGCAATTGTCTACTTACTGCGCCATTACTTTGTTGAAGGTTTGTTTCTAATACTTGCTCCTGTCGGGGAGCTTGCACCTGTTTTTGATCTCTGCAATCGCATTGATTTTTTTTGGCTCGATGTCCTGGGCACCGTGGTTATGACGCAGGTGCTCCTCGCAGGACGCGACGTTCAGGTTAAGGTAGCTTTGGCAATAGATGGGAAAATTTAGTGGTGGAGAATCTGCAAATTAAGGTGATGCAAATGTATGAAATATATGTATATATACTCTAGACACTCGGCTGAAATCCCATTTCCCATTTATACCTTTAAACTAAATGCAAGTAGTAGCATAAACATTTTTAAACAAATGTGCCAATTAATAATAAAAAAAAAATTAAAAAATGCATCACAGCTGTTTTGCTAGATAAGGTTCGTGTCTTTGGTGGGCAACAAGCTGGTATTTTTGCAGTGCACCGAGCGCAGCATGTTTTCCCTGCTGGCTGTCCACTGTAATATTGTATATATATTTTTCTATCCATATTAGTAAGCGTATATTTGCGAAAAATTGAAACCCGGTAACAAAAATTCAACAAGAAATTGCAGCATAACCACGCCGAGTTCGTTTTCTTCCCACATGGGATTTCGTCTGGTATTTTGGTATTTTTCAGTGGCATTTTCCCACACGCGTTAGGCCCACATACACATGGCTCGCAGGGCATATTATAGCGACGCACCACGGTCACGCTGCTCAAAGTGAAACGGCCAAACGAAGAAGACGTATCGTGTGTGCTCAGACTTGTGCTCTCAGAATTTTGGTCAACTACATTATTCAGCTCTGGTAGCGATACTACTACTACTACTACTCACACTTAACAACAATACGTACGAAATAACAATGCCGTCGACGCAAACGCAAATATTTTTTTTTGTTAATTCTTTGGAGCAAGCAAGATATTCTTCAGCGAGCGAAAATAAATGAAATGCAGCCGCCGCACACCATGATATGCAGATTAATTTAAACAAAAAGCGATCGAACTACGGGGAGGGCGGGTTTTTTGCCTTTATATTTGGCACATTGTTAACAACAATTTGTATTCTGTTATCATTTGTTTCCGTTGTTTTACCTTTTGGCCAGTCATATATGCAGATATACATGTATATCTACATAAATGCACATGAAAATTCGCGGAACGGAACACTATAAAAACGTAAAGCAGCAGCAGCAACAACAACAACTACTACAACGAACAGCGACGACGTCGAAGGAAAGATTTTTACTCGCGTCGCGGTATACTTCAACTGTTTTTGAACTTTTATTGCGTGTTTGCTGCTGCGACAAAACTTGCGCGGCGCCACAAAGCGGAGAAAACGTTGACCGCGTGTGTGTGGCGGAGAGCATGCGCTCTCTCGCCCGTATACGTATACGCGCTGGTGTGTGGTGGTGTGCGTGTCTAGGCTAGTCGGTACGCGATTTCAGTTGCGCCGCCCGTTTCGCTCGCGTTTATCGCGACTCGCACACTAAAGTGAAGGCGGGCGACAAGCGCTGCCATTGCCAATGCCACAGTGTTGTCCGTTATTCGCTCTCGCCGCAACTCAGAGTCGATTCGCGCAATTCGCCGCGCCTGGCTGTGTGACTTGCTTGCTCCAAATTAAGACGACCCTTCATTTTTTGTTTTCCCCCTGCCTCAGTTTAGAGTAAAACTAAAACAGATCACAAGCCAATAAAAAATCGTAACGAAACATCAACAAAAAGTGTGAAAAATCAGAAAGATTCTACAGTTTGAATCGAAAACAAAAACATAAGAACCACAAAAGCAGCAGCAGAAAGACAGAGAGAGCAGCGAAAAGTTAACAGCGAATTCAGCGGCTGAAGCAGAGCAGCGGAGCCCAAGTGCAAGCGAGACGGCAGCAGAGCTCCGCTGCAAGGCAACGGGAAAGAAAGAGATAAATAGAGAGACAGCGCAGCAGCGACAAAGAGAGAACAGGCGGCAGAGCGAGTAGCGCGGCGACAGCAACACAGCCACAAAGAGAACGAGAGAGGGAGGGAGAGCTAGACGACCTACTACACAAAAAAAGGTGATATTTTTTTCATTTCATTCTTTTTACCTTTTGATTTTTCTTTCTTTACCCCCCTTCGAATTTCGTTTTAGTTGTATTTTGTGGTATCTATAGTTAATACATCTTGTACGCCTAGTCTAGTTTTAAGTGAAAATCGTACGAAAAAAAACCAAGAAATGCCAAAGCAAATAATGTAACTTGCTCTTTCTCTCCCTCGCACACTTCCTCTAGCTCTCGCTCTCATTTCATAACTCGTTTTGCAAATATTTCATATTTTATTTATTCATTTGTATATTTCGTTGTTCGCCCCATACAAAATCAAACGCCTTTCCTTATTCTCGTCCAAAAATTCCAATCAATTCAAAATCATTACGAATTTCGATTTGCAGCTTTGTAGCTCACTTTCATTGAAACCAAAAAGAAAAATTGAGAGAGGGAGAGTGTGACCACTTAACAGTAACGAGGGCTGTTATTAACATTTCAGCGGTGCGTAAAAGAAACCAATAAACATTAACCAAAAAAAAAAAAAAGAGAGTTGCTAAAAACCAAACAAAAATGTCTGCATTTTTCAATCCTTTCGAGTGTATTTTGTGGGCGGGCTGACGTCTGACATCACGCGGGGCTGCTTCTTTTTCTCCGAGTTACTTATCTTGGCCTAGAGCTGTGTGCAATGAGTCATAGTAAGAATCGTTGGTTTACAATGAGCATTAGAACACACTCCTATGGATAGTGCTTATTTTGCTCACTGTATTTTTCTCCGTTTTTTGGCTGCCCCAGCGGGAAATCTTTATCCTTTCGCATCAAATTCGCCCTCTAACAGTCTGCGTTAACATGCTGTTAGAAAGCGCTAACAGTAGCGGGGCGAGCGACAGGGGCAGCCAGAGAACATGGCGAAAGGGGGAGGGGGAGAGAGAGCTAGTCAGTGGATGTCTTCCCCAGCAAATCGTGATATACTTTTGTAACAGACCACTGCTTCGGGCCGCGCTGGCGGCAGACTGAACCGCGTTGTCACACATTCAAAATTTCAACGAACTTCGCTACGCTGCCGACGTCGACGTCCCCATGCCAAGTTAACCAAAGCGTGTGCGAGTGTTGGGCTCTTGAATTCGCCGCACGCTCACTTGTCGCTTTGTCGCCGGCCGCTCTTCGTCTCGCTCTCATTTTTCAGGGAACAAATTCAATGATTTTTCTTTCCTTTGAAAAGAAGTTTCTAGCAGTTGTGGCTGTAGTCGCCCGTGGACTTAGATTGTATTTTTATGTCGCTCTACGTTCGTAAATTTCAGTTAGTTTGTATATTTTATCATTTTACGAGGGGTGGAAGCTGTTGTAACTCGTTATTTGTGCATTTTTGCACTTTTAGGTTCTCCAAGTTATTGTTTTACTGCGGCAAAGATTTAGTTTTCTCCCAAAAAAATTTTCCTGAGTGGGTTTTGGAACATTTTATCATGTTTTTGGTAGGTTTTCTTACAGATATACGCTATTGACTATATGTTTACATTATCTATAAAAAAAAATCGTTTCATTGTAGCAAATACTTATGTGCTACCATTTTATAGTGATATCATGGCAATTTTTTTCAAATTCTGTTTACTCATTACGTACATTTAAGACTACAAATTAAGGAATATTTCTTGGTTTCAACATATTTGTTTACATCGACTAGATAAAATATGTAGTCATTATTGGTCATCGTTCTTTTTTTTTTTTTTTTGTTTCCCCACTATCTTATCTCCTTTGATTGGATTTCACATGTTTGAGGGGTCAAAATGAGTGTATTTTTCAATGCTCAGTTTGCTTCCGTTTTCAGTATGCTCACTCACGCACACACTTGTACGCTTAAAACGCGTGCGGTTGTGTATGTGCGCGTGTGTGTATGTAAATGTAAATACTTGTGTCAATTTTCCCAAGTGATGTAATAGATTTTTAAGGTGCGGCTTCTTTTTCCGCCTTCATTCACTCTGCCATGTTCCACACTTTTTCATGCTCTTTAATATTATTTTTTTAGTTTGCCAACGAGGTCAGACTGGTACACATACACATGCACGTGCATTATGGGCGCGCACACACAGGCATACATCCCTAAATAAATCGCAGTTTTCAGTTCTCCCTCCCACCCTCGCTCTTCTGTCTCTCTTTTGTCTACCTTTCATATGCCCTACCTGTCAGCGATCGCTGTTGTTGTTACTGTTAAATGCATCTGTTACACTTCTCTTCTTCTTTAAAACGTTACTTCCGGCTTGATCATCTCTTGCTCTCCCACCTCTCCCGCTCTTTGTTTCTGCATAAATCAGATGCCCGCATTTTGTTGTTATCGCTAAATTCTAGTGTTATGCGTTTGTGTGTGTGTGTTTGTGTGGGCGTGCTGGTTGGTTGTGTCTGCATCTGTTTGTAGTATTACTAAGCCTTGTTTTGGTTTCACGCCCTTTTTATTTAATTTTCTGTAGAATGTGCGGCGATCCAGAGATTCCGATTCCGTTATGCCCCCCTTAAGAAGAGTAAACATCAGCCATTATACATATGTATGTATGTAAGCCTTACGCATTTACATTTACATGTACATCCATGTACCAGTACATGCTTTATTAGCAAGAGATTAGAGACAGTATTACGAATTGTAAGGATCAAGCACAACCCTTAGCAAGTAATATTTAATGTATATATATTATTTACTTTCGTGGCTAACATATAATATACATGCGGCTTTCCTTCTCTAATGTCACATTTTGCAAAAGTAGAGCAGAAAGCATTGGCTTTCCTACTTTTTGTTCCCCCCATTTTCCGACCGATTGAAATACGCAAATGATTGATGTAACTTTGTTAGTGCTCGCTTCCTTTGTCTTTAAATTAAGCCCATTAAAATTAATTAAGATATTGACCCAGTTCGTTGGCAGTCGACGGAAAACCGACGGCACAGAAACAAAATTGTTTCAAGTGCCTGACATTTTTACATTAAAACGACTTGACGTCATTAGATGAACTTGTTGTGCTCACTTTGCTTTTATTTGGTTTCTGCTGGAAAACGGGCATAAACATTTAATAATTGGCTGTGATTGCAATAAATGCAAATATTTTCTTTAAATTCAGCATGTAAAAAGAAAATAGGGGAAACCAGCACGAAGTACTTTTAATTTGAATGTATGTATAAATTTATGCACACATTTATTTGAATGCTTGAAAGGCGATTCTTTATTCCATTGATTTTTAAATTTCCATATCTCGCTGGATGGTAAAAGTAAGAAGTTGAGTAAGAAAAAAATGTGTTTAAAGTAATTGAGATAAGGCGATAAGGCACTACCAATTTTTCAGCTTGATAATTTCAAATAAAACCATTTGTTTATTGGGGGCTGGAAATACATATTTCAATGCTATTTTTCTCTCCGCCTTTCGCCTCTCAATCTCTTTCTTTTTCTCTCTCGCTTTTTTGCCACTTCTTTCGTTACTCATCTTCCTCAACCTGTTGTTATTATTGCTTCTTTTTAGTGTGCAATTAAAATGAGCAGCAAAAATAAAAACTAAGAAGATGAGCAACGGTAAACTTAACTTGCCTGTGCTACAAATATCTGATGTAAAAGAAATTCTGGAACTATAAAATTTGCAAATATGTATGTTCACACACATTAGTTTTTAAGTATGTATGTAATATTGTAAGCAAGCGAATACTTACCGTACAAAAACAGCCTTGTTTGGTTTTTTTTTTTGTTTTCTTCTCAATGACTTTTTTGCTCATTTTGCATACATTTCAAAACAAACAATATAAATTCATTGATTTCGACTTTTACTTTCCTCCGCATAACTGTAAATTTTTGTGCCTTCGTTTGGTTCGCTTTCTTTGTGGCGTCTTCTTCCACAGCAGAACACAAGCACAAAAGAGAATTGAAATCTTGGACAGAGAGAGAAATAAGTGTGTCATGCTCATGCGTTTTATTCAGCTTGACCCCTTTTTTCCGAAGTGTAATGCGTTAGCATTCTGACGTCAGCCAATAAAAAACTACAGACTAGCCTAAAGTTATAAATGTAAATACGTTTGTAAATATGTATGTATATATATATATATACATATGTATTTTTGTATGTTTGATAATTGATTAACACGCAAAAAGTTGTATTTATATTTTTTAATGAAGCGCAATGAAAATAAAATTACAAGGAGGCACTCATAGGGCAGTCACAGTGGTTTAAAATGTTACTTTTCCATTTCGGTGGAAGCCATAATTTCTTATTACAAATATTGTTGTTCTTGAAACACTGTTTTATGGTGGAACTCATTGCCAAAGAGCTCGCTTTTATTAGTGCATACGTTGTATGTATATTTTTGTATTATTTGTTGGTCGAACACACGCATTGTGGTTACAACGAGTTAGCAGTTTAGGCCAAAACGCAATCAATTAGCACATGGTTTATGCCAACAGCAATGCCACTCTACGTGTTTATTAATATCTGCTCATATGTATACCTTCATAAACGTATGTACATATCCATGTACATATGTATGTATGGGAACGAACAACGGAACAGTAGCAAGGTCAGCGATAAAAGCTAATTTTCGTCTGACTTTATCCTGTCTCGCCAGCCAGACACGAAATCTCCCAAAAAAGTACCCAAAAATTTAGCTTGAACCTTCACCTTGGGTATATTGATTTCATTATCCTGCTTACGGTGTTGTCTCTATAACAAGTGAAAACTTGCAAATACTCTATAATTTAATTGGGATATTATATCATTTTCGATTATTCAACCCTCAATGGTATGGTATTCATGTATATAGCATAAACCATTCATCATTTATCGATGTAACATAAGAAATCCTACAAAAATATAGATTATAGAGACGCTTAAATGTAGAGTATTTAGCAACTACAATTCATTACCCTTGTCTGAGGGCCTTGAAGTTGCTCTCTTCTCTCTTCTCAGCGATTCTCCAGTTCTCTACCCCCGCGCTCCACCTCTTGAAAATAACGGTAAATAATAACAAATCGGCAGCTGACTCCGTCTGCAATCCCATAGTGGCTCGTCTCTTTTTTTTTTTTTGTGTAGGACATGTCATCGACTTGGTTTTTGTTACTTGTCTGCTTCGTCGCTTTCTTCTTCTTGGCGTCTCTTCTGCTTTCATGAAAAGGAGTGCTCAAAAGAAAAGGGAAGAAGGTTAGGAACTTGGCAAAAAAGAATATACCAGTTCAATGACTTAGGGGCGACCAACATTTTCGGGGTTGTCTTTTATATTTTCTGTTATTGCCCTTTTCCCCATGGGACATTCTTGAATATCTAGAATGGAGCATGTCGCGCGTTTTCAATACTGGCACGTACTCTCCAGAAATTATTATATTCCTATTTTTTTCTGTTTATTGTGTCATATTGAGTCATACGCTGAGTGCACAGAACAAATTATGTATTCATGCAGTTAAGCATATAATAGTTTATACAAGTATGTACATACATATATGTAGAGTCGTGATGTTTGTATGTATGTACATGGGGTGTTTGTTTTTCTATCTTGGTAATGGGATTTTTGTAGAGCTCGTTGATTTCTCGTGCACGCAGCATTTCCGCTCTTCTGGTTTTGGTTTTTGAATGTGGATGTTTCTGTTTCTGTTTCACTGTCCCAGCCAATTGTCAACCCATTTTGTAGCTCCCCTCTGGGTTTCAGATACAAAAAACAGCAGCGGTCACAACAGTAGTGCAACAGACCATGGAAGGAAACCGGTTCTGATGCGAATCTCTGGCAGAAAACTGATTTCCCCATTGGCAAACTGAAAAACAGGCTACTAGATCAAAATTCCCAAAAACTCAAAAAAAGCGCATAAAGTTGCCTTTGATTTTTCTATTAGTCTTAATTCATGACATTTCATTTGAGACCTGGTCAAGTCAGTTAAACAAAATCAGCTGAACTACATCGGTTTAGCTGTACGAAGCAAAAAAAAAACCTTTAAAAAAAGCAAACATTTATTTGAAAACAAATATTCTTTTTGATCGGATTGTGTTAACGGTGCTGATATCGTGACCCAGAGTGCGCAGGCAAGTAGTACATACATGCAAATGTTAATTTGTATCTTCAGCACACCTGGAACAAATTTTTCATTCCTGCCTACTCTCCTTTTGCTTCTTTGGTTTTTGCTGTGCCTTTGTCTTTGATCAGCTGTTTTGCTCAGTATTGTTTAGTTTTTTTCACCCGATTTTCTGCCACACCCACTAAACCCCGTTTGCCTCTTTTCGTTACAGGCTCTGAGGTCGAGATTACCAGCGTCGACGACAACCAAGAAAGCGTAAAAAAAGGAAAAAAAACCATTCAAATAATTAAGGTGAGTAATCCAAAACGATCAATCGTTATCGATACCAATGTCAAGTGCAATGTTAATCGTAAATGTTAACTGGTTAATCGCGTCTGCTAACCACTCGACCGACGAAACACGTGCAAAAAGTTTTTCTCTGAGTAATGCGAAGAATTGATGACGAAGCCCCAAAGCCGGTCGTCTCTCTAAAAGAAACAAAAAATAGACAAATAGCAAAGCGGCCCCTCTCTTCTCTATTTCCCTAACTGGTTTTTCTTGCATGACTTATTCGGTTACCATGTGCACCCAAAGTTAAAATCTGCTAAAGTACATAGATGCTGTAATTGGTAAACGTGACTGCTAAATTAGCAGACGGAAAATTGTTACAGACATCTTCTATGTTAAATGAACAAGGATTGCCTTAGTTATTGCAAACTTTATTTTATTAAATAGAAACCAATGAATGATTTCAAAATTTCGCAAGTTTGTCAAGCATCTGTTTTGCCATTTTGCAGATTCTTCTACGACTTATCCTTATCGATAACGTGTGACTATATAAGAGCGTGACTAACTCTCAACATAAAATTAAACGAAATTTAGTGAATCAACTTGACGCATGATTTAAAAGTTTAGATTCAATTGTTTTAATCAATTTAAAAAAAAATACACTCATAACCCCGTGACTGACGTCAACATTGAACAACTGCGTCCTGGTTTTATTTTTACATTTTGCATGTTTGCGACGGACACATGCTCTTCTGGCCCCCTGCTCCACTACTTTGTTACGAACAGCCAAGATGTCAGAAAAACGTATTACAAAAAAATATAAAAAAGATTGTTGCTACCATTTTTGGTTATATGTATGTACGTTTATTGAACAGGGTCATTTTTCGTCGATTGGCTGATACTTTTTTGGCGTAGCCATTGTAACAGCGAATTTGGGTCACTGTAACTGAGTTTCTGCTGAGTGTTAACTTAATCGCACCTATAGAATCGCAAAACGAATCGAAAGATTAATAATATTATTACTACTTTGATTAAGAATTGGCTTTGTTTGGTAACGTAAAGGATTCCACTGTAAGCCCAAACAGCACTGTCCTACTGTAACGGTAAAACTGAGCTGTCGCTTGCAGCGATGGTGAAATACAGTTGTTAGTGTTGTTACTGCTTCATCATGATTCACATAACGCTCCGCTTTGCGAATTTTCTGGAGAGGAAGCGAAACGAGTGCTGAGCCACCACACCCTCCCCAACTCGCACACAGCCCCCCTTCACCATGGGGGCATGAAAACGAACGTGAGCGGTGGCACGCATAAACATGTGCGGCTGCACTTGTTATATCCGCCGGATGATTGTGATTACTATGTGCGGTCACATTGGAAGTGCATCCTTCTATGAGCATCGTTTCCTAAAATCAAAATAATTTGAAATAACGATACAAAAACAATTTATACGTTATTTAACGTATTAACATGTAAATGCCTTGTGCGGCGATCAAAAGAAATACAGATTAACATTGCTCTCCCCGTTTTTACATATATACATACATACATATGTATCTTCAACTGATATGCCCATCAAATGTGGAACGGAAATAAATAAATACGTACAATAAATGGGAAATTGTGGTGTATATGTATGTATGTACTTGAGTGCGCTCGTTTGCATATTTTATTGTAGTTTATGATTCCTCTCTTGTCAGACACGTACATAGCTCACATTTCGAAACCCTTCCATTCTCGATTCTTGAATGAGTTCCAGTGAAATTGGATAGCTCCGAATTTTGTGGGCGGAATATGGGGCGGCAAAAAAAGGAGCGAATATACATATTCCCGGAATCGTGGGAAATATGGTAAATCATTCGAGACTGTTTCAAATTTGATGTGCTAGATAGCACAAAAGCGTGGAACACCAACTAGGCATACAATTTCCAATCGGTTTTTAATTCCCTGCCGAAATGATGTACATAAATGTCATGTGGGCACAGTCCACACTCGTTAAGTCGAAAATATTTTATTGAAATAGCAAAGTGCACAGCTTGTTGTTTCGGGTGGGCACCGTACTAAAATCAAGGTTAGCCGTCATAGGTTTATAAAATAATAACGAGAAGTAATATTCAAGCCAAAATGGCACCTCGTCAATTGTTGCTTGGCCTTGAACCTGAATTTTGCGGTTCTCTTTATTTTGTTTCTTGTTTGCCGTGTGCTCACTGTTTTTGTGTTTTTTGTTGGTTATTTTTCTTAGTATAATGCCTTTTGTTTTATCTGGTGCTCACCCTCTCTCTCTTACCTCCCCCACCCCTTCCGCTACTACTCTTCCTTCAATTCACACATTGCAGTCTGTTCTCGTTTTCATTTTCGTTTTGGGTTAATGAACTGAAATTTTACCGTTTTTTGTTATTGTTACTTGCTTATATCTAGGGGCAGTTTTTGTGTAAATTTAATTTCATTTTAAAATTAATTTCATTTCTCTCTGTGCTTACGCTTGTGTTCGTTTGTGTGTGTGTTAGACTGAGTTTAAATTTGATTTCGATCAAATATTTTTGCACATTTTTCGCATTTTCTTTTGGTTGGGCGCAGCCATGATGCTATTCTTCGTTCTTTATTGAAATTCAGGCAATGAGCGGCATTTGCATTTATTGTGCATTTCATTTCGCTTTTATTGCTTCCTATTTTTGACCCTCTTTTTAGTTCTTGCGTCTCTGTTGCCGTGCTGTTAAAAATAGTCATCGTACATGGCAATAGAAGAGGAGAGTGGTAATTGGCGAAAAGAGAGACAGAGAGACAGTGAGAGCGGAAAGAGCGAAGAGCGCGGGAAATGTCAAAAAAAGCAAAACAAACTGTCAAATGTCGACGTCATGTGAGTGCGCACACACACGCACGCACGCGCGCACGCAGCAATTGTGTGGGTGCAAGTGACGTTTCCCATTTCTTTTGTTTTGCTTCGTTTCGTTTGCTGATTACGATTTACAGAAAATAACGGCGAGTGGCTACGCGAATCAACTGTGATCCTTTGCTAAAAGATGTAGATTTTTTGAAAATTGGTGAATGAAAATCAGACAATCCATTTCAAAGATGATCTGTCTCTAATGCAACAAGAACTGTTTGTAACTCTTAAACAGGTACGCGAAATACTGAACGCTTTCAAAGTGCATACAGACAAAATATAAAATGAATAGAAGTTACTGTGAAACTAAAAAAAATACGGACTTCATATTTTTCTGTTCCTTTCGCCCGAATAAATGTATTCTTCAAATTAACGGCCCTGTTAAATGTGAATTAAAAACTAATAGTAATCGTTTTAGGTGCAAACTGATTATTCAGAGAAAAGTGTGGGCTTTTTACATAGCATCAATTCGCTTTTTGTAGGTCATCCAAACAGAAACCAAAACACCCAGCGATTCTCCAGTTCTCTACCCCCGCGCTCCACCTCTTGAAAATAACCGTCTGCAATCCCATAGTTGCTCATCTCTTTTTTTTTGTGTAGGACATGTCATCGACTTGGATTTTGTTACTTGTCTGCTTCGTCGCTTTCTTCTTCTTGGTGTCTCTTCTGCTTTCATGAAAAGGAGTGCTTAAAAGAAAAGGGGAGAAGGTTAGGCACTTGGCAAAAAAGAATATACCAGTTCAATGACTTAGGGGCGACCAAAATTTTCGGGGTTGTCTTTTATATTTACTGTTATTGCCCTTTTCCCCATGGGACATTCTTGAATATCTAGAATGGAGCATGTCGCGCGTTTTCAATACTAGCACGTACTCTAGAAATTATTATATTCCTATTTTTTTCTGTTTATCATATTGAGTCATACGTTGTCGACTGAGTGCACTCATTTTGTAGCTCCCCTCTGGTTTTCAGATACAAAAAACAGCAGCGGTCACAACAGTAGTGCAACAGACCATGGACGGAAACCGGTTCTGATGCGAATCTCTAGCAGAAAACTGATTTCCCCATTGGCAAACTGAAAAACAGGCTACTAGATCAAAATTCCCAAAAACTCAAAAATGTCCATCATGTTGCCTTTGACTTTTCTATTAGTCTTAATTCATGACATTTCATTTGAGACCTGGTCAAGTCAGTTAAACAAAATCAGTTGAACTACATCGGTTGAGCTGTATGGAGCAAAAAAAGGAGAGCAAAAAAAGGAACAAAAAAAAACCTTAAAAAAAACAAACATTTATTTGAAAACGAATATTCTTTTGATCGAAAACTTGTGTTAACGGTGCTGATATCGTGACCCAGAGTGCGCAGGCAAGTAGTACATACATGCAAATGTTAATTTGTATCTTCAGCACACCTGGAACAAATTTTTCATTCCTGCCTACTCTCCTTTTGCTTCTTTGGCTATTTGCTGTGCCTTTGTCTTTGATCAGCTGTTTTGCTCAGCATTGTTTAGTTTTTTTCTCCCGATTTTCTGCCACACCCACTAAACGCCGTTCCCCTCTTTTCGCTACAGGCTCTGAGGTCGAGATTACCAGCGTCGACAACTAAGAAAGCGTAAAAAAGGAAAAAAAACCATTCAAATAATTAAGGTGAGTAATCCAAAACGATCAATCGTTATCAATATCAATAACTGGTTAATCACGATTGATTTTTGAAAATTGGTGAATGAAAATGCAACAAGAACTGTTTGTAACTCTTAAACAGGTACGCGAAATACGGAACGCTTTCAAAGTGCATACAAACAAAATATAAAAATAATAGAAGTTACTGTGAAACTAAATAAAATACGGACTTCATATTTGTCTGTTCCCGTTGCTCGAATAAAAGTGAATTAAAAACTAATAGCGATCGTTTTAGGTGTAAACTGATTATCCAGAGAAAAGTGTGGGCTTTTTACATAGCATCAATTCGCTTTTTGTAGGTCATCCAAACAGAAACCAAAACACCCACACATTTTGCTTTTTCCGTTTTATATATGTACATAGGTTAATTTCCTTGGAATGCAAGTCCAAGTGAATGTTTTATACGTCTACATATATATTTATGATTTATAATAATATATTTGTATGTAATCGGATTGTAGTGGAGGGGGTATTGGGGTTAAATCTACATCCGGCACCCGGCATTTATCAAAACGGAATTTTTAACTGGATACAGCTAAGCATTGTGAAATTTGACTAAACAAACAGTGGTGCCTCTCTATAATGAGTAGACAAGGCTATTGTACATACATATATTCCTTAAGGAATATTTACTGTAGATATGCATGTATGCACATACATATTTCCATTCTCATAAGCGCTCTCTATTGTAATTTATGGCAATTTGCACTTTGCTCCGAAAATAAGCGCGGTGCTGCATTTGCCACCCAGCGGGTGCGAGCGGGATACAAACAATCAATGTTGGCGCATAACTATTGTTCTTGTTGTTTCTGCTGCTTGATTTTCTTGTTACTTCTATTATTTTCGCCACTGTTGCTGTTGTTTTTGCACCGACGTCGCACTCAATTGACAGATTGCTCCACTTTTGCGAGCGCGTCCTTGACCTAGAAGTACTGCATACACAGCCACACACTCATATACACCCCCTTCTTCTCTTCCTCTTTTGGTGTCGCCTTTTCGTTCTCTTCGCCCCTTCTTCGTCCATCTTCTCGGCAGGCATGCGAAAATCTATGTTAAGGTCAGCGCACTTAGGCGATCCTAATAAAAAGGACTGTTAACTCACTGTTAGTGCTCTCTGTAAATCGCAGCTCCCGTTAACAGTGCCATGCGAGTTTAGTGGAGTCTTCTGTAAAAATGCAATATTGCTTAAACAATCTTAGTTTTACGTCATTCAAAAAAAAAAAAAAAAAATGAGGAAATGCCATACACTTTATAGTAGGGCGGCACGCCCAATTTGAAATTAAATTTTTTCATTTATAAAACGTAATGTAAGGCGTATTGTTTTTGGGTGGAACCCCCTTTTTTTTTGTATCGTGAGTCTTCGTGAGTCATGACAGGAGCAACTAATAATATCCCATGGTAAAAACCCCCAAAGGGTTAGACCCATACCCTTCACTTGTGTCGGTTGACGATGTTTGGGTTGATATAAAGGAAAAAATGTAATTTAATAGTGACAATTAATTAATTGATACCAAACCAATATTAAATGCATTTGATTTAATCAAGGCAATTTGCAGCCAGACACATTCAATTTATTCATATTTTCCCATTTTCCCAAATGTCAACATTCATATTCTCTTCTACTTGCAGACTGCTACACGGAACAACTAAAAACTACAAGCTAATTTAACCAGGAGAAAAGAACGGAAGACTAGACATAATCATAAACAGAGTAGATAGAATTAGAGAACCCGCAAACCCAAACAACTAGAAAACTAAAAACATTAATTCTAAAACCCACATACACACATCCACACACACAAGCGAAACAAAGGAATGAATTTGTAATACAACACCAAGAAAGAATCACCTTTAGCCTTATATACAATTAAATACAATTTAGACGCTAGAAAGACAAGACAGAGCAAGAATCCTATCAAGAAAACCGAAACATAACAAGAAATATTTGATGGGCAGTGTGTAAGTAGGCTAACTGAGGAAAAAATACTATAAACAAAATACAGTAGATATAAAGAGCCACACACACAGCAAAAATCCTCAATGAACTATAATTTAACATCGTTTCCCTAAAACAACTGTAGAAATAAAAGCATCGGTCAGGGGAATACTCCCCCGAATCGAGAATTTGAAGAATCCCCTCCAGCTAGGGACTCGAGAAACGAGGATTCGGATCCGGATCCGTATCCGGAGGATCCCGTAGGAACTGACGAGAGAAATACAGATATTTTAGTTTCTGGGGAGGCAGACTCTCAGGGATTAAACGAAGATTCGGATGAGAACAATTTGCAATCGCCGAATCAATCTCCCAATTCAAACGTAATCGAATATTGTGAGCAAGGACCGGAATATCCTGTCGGAGCTGCCCCAGCAGAAGAAGTACAGGAGAACGAAGCCAACAGTAGCGGTAACAAGTCGGACTGGTATACTCGCAATAATAGAGGTAAAACTAACTAAAATACCAAAATTTTATAAGTTTTGTTAACAAAATTCTTTCCATCAGGCGCAGAGCGTTTAATAAGTGGCTCTGATAGCGAGGACGAACGGTGGCAGCAAGAATCAAGGGATGTTCCTTTCAGGCGTGCAGATTCTGATTATTCCGTAGAGATCAGACGTAATTCCCAACGCGATAATTTTTACAGGGGATATGACAGTGGCCCAGAAGGAAGGTTTTTGCGGTGGAGTACCTTTCCCGATAGTAGTGAGGACGAGGCAATACGACCAGGTGTATACGGTCATTCACCAGCACTTTCCGATTCACGATTACCTCTATCGGAAGGAGAGCCGCAGGAAGAAGCTCAACGTGGCGGTTATATTGTGGACTTGAATCGCCAGTACCAGTATTCAGATTCTGAGGAAGAAGCATATTTCGCTAGAAATCGGGTCACATTTTACGGTTATCAGCCAAATCGAGAATCGGAATCCGATAGCGACAACGAAATATCAAGTACATCTTCAGAATCGTCTTCAACGGGAGGACAAAGCTCTGACGACGATTCGCGAGTAGTTTCAGAAGCGGAATCGAGTTCTTTGGATACAGAAGACAGAGTCGATCCAGTTACTGGGTGGATATCGTGCAATCGAGTAAGTGTTTCCGAACGCGAGGAAGAAATCGACGACAAGCAACAGAAGCCTTCGGAGGATAGCGAAGACGAACAAAAATATAGACAGGACGAGCAGCAAGGCAAACAGCAAAGAAAACGCAAATTGCTAGGTCGCTGGGGTTCTAATAAATCCAAAAAACCATTATTGGACGTTGAGGAAGAAGAGACACTATCAGAACACTATTCACTTTCAGAATTTGAGGATGATATCCCCATAAAGGGAAATAATAGCACGGAACCAAAGAAATTGAAAAAACCAACATTGCAAAGTGAGAGAGACCAATCGGAGGAGGAACGTGAAGACACGGAAAGCGAAGAGTCTGACGATACAGATTCGGATTCAGATTCAAATTCAAATTCAGATTCGGATTCAGATTCGGATTCGGATTCAGATTCAGATTCTGATTCTGAATCAGAAGGAGGACCAGGAGCTTCACATTCTGAGGAACCTGCGCAGGATAAATATCCTAAAGGCGGCGGAGCCCATCAAGATCCAGCTCCTAAAGCCAGAGCCGATCAAGATCCAGCTCCTGAAGGCGGAGCCGATCAAGATCCAGCTCCTGAAGGCGGAGCCGATCAAGATTTAACTCCTGAAGGCGGAGCCAATCAAGATCCAGCTCCAGCTCCTGAGAATAACGATCAAATTTGTGAGGAGGAAGACGAACCCCTCTTCTACTTAGGGAAAAGGGAGGTGCTCAAATTTGTATCGAATCCTTTGGGGGATGATCTAACAGAATTGGACGTTAAACTACTGCTCTATATGACATTTGGAGCCGACAAACTGGAAGACCTACAAAGCTATTTTGATATCATTAACCAAGAGCAGCAGAAGCAACCAGAGGAAGAACATCAGCAAAAATTGCAACAAGAGCATCAGCAACAATTGCAACAACAAAAGCAGGAACACTTGCAACAGGAACAACACTTGCAACAGGAACAACACTTGCAACAGGAACAACTTTTGCAACAGGAACAACTTTTGCAACAGCAGCAGCAACAGGAACAATTGGAAGAGTTGCAAGAACTGGAAGAGCAGCGACAGCGGAAGAGCCTCCTGCTTGAGCAACAGAGATTGTTTGTTCAAGAAAAAGTGCGGCAACAGAAGGAGCAGCACCGTTGGCAGCAGGATCAAGTAGAGCGCGAACGTCAATTGCGCCAGCAAGAGGAGCAAAAGCGACTGGAATACGAACGAAACTTGGAGAGACAGAGGGAGGACTGTAAACGTCAGTTGCGTCTGCAGCGCGAGCAATATCTGATCAAGATTAAGCAGCTGGAGAAGCTCAGGCAGCGCCAGCAGCAGGAGAATCGGCCCTACAATACACAGCCACAGCGCAAGCACGAGCTGATGCAAAACGATATGGTCAGCATACCGGTGGCCAACTTAAACGGCGGCCTTAAGGCGGCCAGCAGCGGATCCGGAGTGGGTGTAGTGGCCGCCGGCGGCGTCGTATCCTCGGCGGTCCTGGCAAATGCCCCCCGTGTTTACCTAACGCCTTCCTCCACATTCATGGCCAATCGCCAAATGGCGGGAGTGGCAACCACCGGAAAAATCAGCGGACCGGTGGTCGGCGGTTCAGCCGGCACAACCTCAGCCGCCGGTACCGTTCGCTATTTTTCGCAATTCAGCAAAGTGCAAACGGCTGGCGGACCCAGTCTGCAGAGGAAACTGGCCAACGGGGATACCATTGTGCTGGCGAACGGCAACAAAAGTATGTTCCTTACTAGCAGCGATAACAAGGGTGCGTTGCAGACTGTCGCCACCAATGGCAATGGCTTGCTCACAGCCAAAACGGAGCTATTGGAGGAGGAGGGCATGCAGCCGGTAACTGTGATTGATGACGAGGGCGATGACGAGGGCGAGGGCGAGGGCGACGGCGATGGAGATGGAGAGGAGAGCAGCAACAATGCCAAATCCAGTGGGGATCAGCAGCCAATGGCACTGACCAACGCGGCCAACGAAGGCAATGGCTCCGATGATGAGCCCGAGCTGGACATTGTGATAAACAATGTGGTCTGCTCGTTTAGCGTCGGCTGTCACCTGAAGCTGCGCGATATTGCGTTGCAGGGATCGAATGTGGAGTACCGTCGCGAAAATGGAATGGTGACAATGAAGCTCCGTCATCCATACACTACGGCCTCGATTTGGTCGTCGGGAAGGATTACATGTACTGGTGCTACTTCCGAGGCAATGGTATGCTTTAGCACTAAAACGGTCATCTTTGTAAGCTCATTAGTAATGATCTCATGTTTTTTAGGCCAAGGTTGCTGCACGCCGCTATGCCAGATGCCTTGGAAAACTGGGATTTCCCACTCGTTTCCTCAACTTTCGCATTGTCAACGTGCTGGGCACCTGCAGCATGCCGTGGGCCATCAAGATCGTTAACTTCTCGGAGCGGCATCGCGAGAACGCCAGCTACGAGCCTGAGTTGCACCCTGGTGTGACTTACAAGATGCGCGACCCTGACCCAAAGGCCACCCTGAAGATCTTCTCCACCGGCAGCGTAACAGTTACTGGTGAGTAGTGTTGTTATTGTTGAACAGGATAATGTTACTAATTCTGATGTTGGTCTTCATATTTAGCGGCTAGCGTAAGCCATGTTGAATCGGCTATCCAGCACATATATCCTCTGGTCTTCGATTTCCGCAAGAAGCGATCGGCGGAGGAGCTACAGCATCTGCGTCAAAAGCAGCGTCTACAAGGCGGCGGTGACCCCAACGAGCTCGAGAAGAATGTCTTAGCAGATAACAAGACGTCTGCCCAGGATAATATCTTTATTAACACAACAGCGGCGCACTCTAAATCAGCATCTGCGGGCATTTTGTCCAGCACAATTGATAGTATGCCCCGTCTGAAACAGATAGTTAACTATCACCAGATGATGAAGCAGACCCAGGATGAGCGCCGCCACATACCTTTTCATGGGGAGAAGGTCAATCCGGCTTCCACCTCGTCGGCGGCTGCAGCTCCTTCCACCTCCTCCTCGTCCTCATCCGGAGATAATATCTGTGCCAATGCCCGTCGTCGGGCAACCGAATGCTGGGCCACCAAGCTGCAGAACAAGCGTCCACGTTACAATGATCCTGGCACCACGGGCACCATCAACGCCTCGTCATCCTCAGCATCAGCCACATCTTCGTTCGCCCCCCAGGCGAACCCCCTGCGTAATCCTCTCAAGACGGCCGCATTGGCCAATGCTCGTATGCGCGGCGCCAAGGTGCCAACATGCATGGTGACGGGCACACGCATTGCCTCCAACAGTCTAATCCTACACCAGCAGCAACTTGTCCACATGCAGCAACAGCAGCAGCAAAAGCTGCGTCAGACCAGTTTCTCGCCCAGCGAGTTCAATGTGGACGACTTGATCGAGGAAGAGAGCAACGAATTGGACATGCACTTTTAAGTTAGCGCTGTCCGTGCCAAAACATTTCAACTAAAATGATGAATCGATGAAAACGCAAACAACAAACACGCCACACTCACAAAACCCCACGAGCTTTTCCCCGAATATGTTGGTTATTTGTTTAAGTCATTTTTCATCACATTTGTTTTTTGTGTGTATGCCGCATTTAAACCAAACTCGAGGAAACCCGGACACCGAAGCGAAAACAAAAAAGGAAGGTATGGAAGCAAGAAGAACACGACAAGCACTTGAATCCAAAGCGAATCAGAAGTTCGCAAGCAATACCAACAAAACACCGCAGCAACAACAAAATCAAGAGCCAAATATTTACCATATAAGGTGAGTCGTCATTGTTTTATTTTATTTTTTGGAAATCGGTATTCTAAAATGCGCACATTTCCTTGCAGATTTACGTTTAAACTACTTTGTAAGTTAAGCGAGCACACCAGAAACAAACTAGCAGAGATAGCATATAGATGAGTTCGACCCCGAAGTATCCCAGAAACCTCAAAGACATCTGTATGGTAAACAGAGAGCTTACCACAACGTAAACTTAAGTTTAGACTTAAAACCGACAGCGAAGTACGAGTTATGAATACGTATGCCAGCGTTTTACGTATATAACCAAAATCTGTGGATTACTTGGAGTCACCATGAATCATCATTGATCGCAATTATCATCTGTGGAAGCAAGAACACACCGCCAAAACAAATACTGTAAATCCCACATACAACTACATAACATAATCACTAGGACAGGAAGGTGACGATACGAGCAAGTTGTCCGGGCGGATCGCATGCTTCCTTGCATGTTCTTTTTTTTTTTTTGCTGAACTCAAATTCAGTTCTGCCCAAGCAAACCAAAATTCTCAAGTAAAACACGAGGAGGAGACCAGAGAAAGAAACACTAGGATAGTTATCAATTATTTGAAAAACAACTGATTAATGTCTTGTATTTTCATATCATTTTTTTTTCGTTTTCGCTCTAAGTTCTACATACTAAGTAATATACATAAGCGCTTTGTGTGGAGCATAACAAGCAAAACAAACATTGAATACGATTATATTAATATAAATCACACATACACACACACACACAAATACCTATATCTGGTCACTTCTCACCAATTATAACAAAACTGAAAAAACAGCAAGTAATTATGTTTTGATTTGTGCTGGCAGTTTTTGGGTTGCGCAGAAACTCGATGAACTGATGAAACTGAATGAACTCTTGTATGATGATGACAAAGAACATTGAAGTAGGATAGGCAAGAAGAGGGTTTATTCAATATAGTCGGTTTATGCGCGGCTTATTACTATTACCAGGCGTATACCTAACATACATAGTAATGTATCATTTTGTATTTCGCTTTAGTTTTATGAGTTAGTAGGGGATGCAACTTAAGCGTAGATTTACAAACTTGTTCCTGTGTTGTTAAAATCAGAAAGTAAATATTTTAGTTAACTTAACGAAGCATACGCATACACAAACACACTCACACACACATTGAACACAAGCATACGTATACATATACATAATATTAAGGCATCCAAACAAAGAAAGAAACAAACAAACAAATGAACGAACGAACGAACGAATCATAAGCAATAATACAATGTTTTCGTTGTAAAAGAGGTAAAATCTAAAGAAAGAAATACTCACGTTAAACATAAAATAACAAACTCTAGATGTTTTGGCGTGCCTTCACCCATAAATAGGAAAACAAAATGAGATACGATAGCCAATTGTACAATCATTGAAATAGTACTTCCAGACCAGAACCGCACCGAACCCAAAATCATTGTACATACGCCCAAAATCGATGTTTTCCAATTAAGCGTGAATTGCCTCATTCGTACATCAAGTTCAATTTTCATTTGTGCTTAACATGAAACCAACTTTCATATCGTTCAACTTATGCATAATCAAAATAGCTAAAAGGGGAATTACATATTAGTGAGAAATATCAACATTTCTTTCCCTCGACATTCTTTGTTCTATTTTTTGTTTTTTATTTTTTTTTGTTTTTTTTTTGTACTTGATTTGCATAAACAAAATCGAGAAATGAAAATGCCTTTAGGGAACAAATAACTAGCGCGGAAAGGAAAGAGATAGGTTTAGGTATAGAGAAAGCGAAGGATATTGAACAGATCGGAGCCGAAATGTATTTTTTGTGTATGCGAATATGTGAATAGGTCGATGAAGACCCGAACGTGTTACAATTGCAAAATTAACTAGCCACTAAGCCTTAGACCTAAGTTAGCTGACACACTGAATACTAAATGTAAGCCAAAACGCATATAGCAATCTAAAACAGAAAATGAAACAAAAAAAAAAATCAAATCTAAAGGAACCTAACGAGAACATAATTGTAATCTAAGTGTACATTAAATAGTTGTTAACAAAATCACAAAACAAAACGAAAGCAAGAAACCAACAATAGTGTAATGTCTTCACGTCTAACTGCCTTCGAAAGATTCAAGAATTATTGAAATTTAAGCAAAACCATTTGAATGCGAAGTAGTATTCTCTTAAAACACGACTGCAAATTGCTTCACTTCAACCTTGTACTTTCAACACTTTTTTTGTTAGAGCAACAACAGCAACCAACGGACGGACAAACGGACAGACGGACAAATAGATCGAAAGGCCTAAATAAGTGTATTTGGTTTCAAGAACTTTGAAAAAGCAAAACTTAATATTAATATAGTATACAGATATATTTTTGATTATTATGTATTTAATGAGAACAATGAAACGATAATGATAATGATGCAAGTATCGATGATAACTAAGTGAAAACAAATTGAGAAATCAAATAGCATAATTCTGTTTTTGTTTTGCCGTAAAGACTGCATTATACCAACAATTAATTATATACAAACATAATAAATAAATAACTGATAATGGCGAGTTAGCTTTGCACTAAGCAGAGAACAAAACGGAAACATTTAAAGCAAGCTGAAAAATTCTAAACACAAACACACAAAAAAAAAAACAAGAAAACAAGAACAACAAAAACATGGAAAACAAAACCAAGAAACATTTATTTATTAGCTCCTAAGTGAAGACTAAGATTTGCTAGCAGTGATGGAGATCAAGTCAGGCCAGAGCGGACCTTAAAGGTACCGCATCCAATACGAAAAGCAAGATGAAATTACCTTACCAAAACGTGCTAGCCCTCGAAAATCCACCATTATCTCCATGGTGGGGGATTCAGGTGGGCGAGTCTACAAAAAAGTCTATAATAGGGCGTGAATCGGAATAATTAGTACTATCGTATGATAAATCAATTACCAACTAACTGGCTAACACGTATATCCGCTAAGAATTATAGTTTTCCCTAATCCCTGAAACTAATTCTAAGTACATAAGTTGCAAGCAAAACGCAAAAAAAAACCTAAAAGTTCGATTTATACACGAAAAAAAGAATATATGGAGAAGTGAATAGTGGTATGGAGATGGAGGAGCGTTTACTTTGGTTTTGAGATTGTTTGCCGCAGCTTCACATCTCGATGTACCAGGGCTACTACTGCGAAACTCTTTTTGAAAACCCCAGTTTTGGAACACCAAAACTGGCGATTTCGAAACTGAGCTTTTGGTATTCAATATTTAACAAAAGCCCACACACAGACACACAGAGAGAAGCATAACCGAAAACAACTCATTTGATGTATTTAGTTTAACGTTTAGCCCCTAGTTTCGAGGAACGTTAAAATGCCTTTCCTGAACTGCAGTCAACACTCAAATAAACGACAAACAAGCAAAATGAGAAAATAAAAACCAACCAACCAAATGAAAGCAAATTGTTTGAATAAAAATCAAATTACATAAAGCCTATGTGCATTTTTTATTGATACGGTGACGAAATGGGTTCTTCTCCAAACCTTAATTTTGGAGGTTCGTATTCAACTATTTTTGAATCTCGGCAGAGCTGGGCAGGAACAGGAATTCACGAAGGCACCCCACTTCTCGCTCTACTGATACCCTTTATAGCTGGAGTAATGGGCTACGGCACTTTCTTTACTTTGCATCTGACCACTATATTTCACATAATTCAAAGTTTACAAAAATCAAAGATGCTAATAAAATTTCAAGATTCATCACTCGAAGGAACGATTGGTCGTTAGTCGGATAAAAGTATTTTAACTGATTCGACAATGTTTGGTTGACAATGAAGGGTTGCTTTGTTTTTAAACAACATTTAAACAGTATGAGTACATAATATCCATAATCTCAGATATATCATTCAAGTTTTACATTTCAGAAAGATTTTAACAAAACAGTCAACTCCTTCCAATGCTCTTAATGTTATAAAAATAACTAGTTCATGTCTGATTCTCGACTTAAGTATCTTATTTTGTGCGTGGCTGTCTGTTTTGACTGAAAAACATAGTATAACAGGGTATGCAGCGTGTCTGTCACCTAGATCCACTTCACCCATGCAATTGGAGGCATTGCAGCTGGATTTTCGCTCGGAGCGGTAAACAGTTTTATTTTACAAATGTTTTGGCGACTTAAATGCAGCTTATTCATACAATGACGATGCGTGGATTTTGTGTAGTGTGGCTGGATGCATGTGGCATTAAAATTAGTCAATAATTGGATTTGCATTTCTTAGGGAAACTACCGAACAAAACGGTTTTGTTAAAAATATAAAGAGGGGAGTCCAAGAAGTATGGATAGAAGGCTAACGCCAATTACTGGCTAAACTTCACGCCAATGTTGTTGACGCGCGTCTGCATGTGCTGCAGCACATCCTGCGAGAATTCCTCGATGGTCGTGAAGCGGCTCTTTTGGAAGCTGAAGATGTCGCCCAGAAAGGCGAGCAACTGTTCCCGGAAGTAGTGGCAGATGTCGCGCAGGTTCTCATTGGGTCCAAAGAAGCCCCAGGCCATTAGCGGTGATATCTGCTCGGATATCACGTAAAAGTGAGACATGAACCCGTTGGGGAACTTTAGCATCCGCTTCTTTGCCTTCAGCACCGACCAAACGGCTGTGGTTAATGCCTGAAAATAAAAGACCATAGGGATCAACATTTAGCCCCGAACTCAGGTGAGTTTACCCACCGTCTCTTTGAATCCGTTGGATAGCCAGCGATTTTGGACCACCGCTGTGACGCTGGCTGGCGGGGCATCTAGATCCTTGAACGAATCCAGGATGATGAAGTCCAAACAGATGTCGTAGAAGGTCATCGCCTTGACATTGCGCTGCTCCAGCTCTACTTGGATGCATGGCCAGTTGTTGCTGTCATGCAGATAGTTCACCATGTCCTCGTAGCCGACAAGAAACTCCTTGGTATCCTTATCGCCCAGACAAAGCAAATCGGTTAGAATCTGCCGGCCAGCATCGCAGATCCACTGGCCCACCGCGGGATCCTTGAACAGGAACTGAAAGGCTAGCCGAACGCAGTGCAGCTTAGCCAGGTATTCGGTATCGGTGCTGCAGTGCATCAACTCCGCCCGAATGGTGCGACACGGCACCGTGTACTCATCGTGGTGCTTCAGGGCACTCTGGAATAACGGATACTCTTCGTACGAGGTCTCGATAAAGCCGTCGAACTCCCGCAGATCCGCCACCTGGTCGAGAGCGGAAGCAAAGCTTTCCGCGGAATCAAAGTTCGGATCGGAACCAGCTCGACTGAGGACGCTGCCAGACTTGCGCGACCAACGATCGTCTTCTGTCTCGCCCGCCTCCTCTTGGGCCTCGTCAATGGAATGCTCCTCGCGGAACAGCACCGAGCGCTGATCCAGGAAGAGCAGTTCGCTCTGCTCCTGCAGTGTATAGGCCATCTCCAGCAGGTTTTGGATCTCACGACAGAACTCGGAGTCCTCCGCCGTGGTCAACAGGGCGGGCAATCCGCCGGGCGAATAGTGTGCCGCCAGGGCATCTTCCCAAAAGTTGATCACTGTGTCCAGTGCCTCCATGCCCATCATACCCAACTGTTGGGCCGTCAGTTGGGTGACTACCGAGCTGCCAGGACCGGCATTTTGTACAACGCCAATCGAGCCGGAGGCCATGGACATGCGATCCGAGTAGGCCAGTGTGGAGCCCACTGGACTGCTCGATCTTGCCGAGGCCTTTGATCCGGCTATTGAGATAAGGTCGTTCGGACTGCGCATGCTGTTGCGGTTACGCCGACCAGTGTACTTTCTGGCCCGACGAGGCGGACGCGGAGGCTTGCGACGTCGCAGAAATCGGGAGAGTACGCTCATCAGAGCCACGCCAGCGGTCAGTGAGAAGAGCAGAACCTGGTTAGGGATTTGGAGGGTGATCAGTGAAAAGTCTGTGTACTTATGGTAAATTATCCCACCTTTGTGGTGGTGGAAACGCGGAAGGGCAGCAGGCTGCCCCCGCTTGTCCAGGATGCCGGCATGACACGGTGCATCCTGCGGTTAGTATGATTCCGCCGTGGATCTTGTGAATCCTTCGGAATCGAAAATGGGAATGAAGTGAACAGCAAGGATTATCTTTGTGCCGATGCTGCGGATTGCGTTCGTGCTTTGAGGTTAGGCCTCCGCGCCCAGTCCACAATGCCTGCTCATCGACTGGTGCTATCTTGGTTTTGGTTTTCTGGCGCGGCTTTGACCCTGCGCTCCATGTGCGACCGCCCTTTGGAATGCAGATTGAACTGCTGATGCTTTTGGGGGATGGTTCAAGCGGTTGCCTCGTCGCCTGGCTGACACGGTTCGGGGTCGCCACAGACCGATTTCACGTTGCAGTCTCGATCAACTGCACCTTATCAGTGGTAACTTTCACTTTTAGGCCTGAAAACAACAAAATTGCATCACAACGTTTTCCGAAGAGAAGAGCGCGGCGGCAAAAGATCCAGCTGATTGGGGCGTTGCCATGTGGGTTTTTTGTAGGCCTAGTGCCCAACGGGGCTGCCAGACCAACCAATGGATATAACAGTTACAGCTATGTTTCTTAATTAATAATACGCTTATACTTTTAGAACATTTATGAAAATAGGAGTTTAAAAACAATGCTAATGTTTGTTGAGCAATTTAAAGAAATTGGTATGTTATTGCCTTATCGTTTTTGGTATATTGGTATATGTGGTATTGAAAGTATTTTTTTAAGCCGGATGGTATAAAACATGAATTATTACACGGTCATACTGCTAGGAACAAAAAAACACTTCACATCAAACCAAAATAAAATCAAATTAGATAAAATTAACCAAATTGCGCAAAAAACGATTGCAGTAGTCAGAAGTTTCCAGGAGTTCGGAAAACTGAAGGACACCCAAATCACGGTCGATCAGAATTCAAAGTGACCTTAGAAAATCAAAACAAGTGTAAAGCCACATAAGAAAGAAGAAAAAAACATTAAATATGTGTAAGTTAATGAACGAAACGACAGGTCATGAACAAAAATCAGTTACTTGGAGTAAAATTCACTTAAAAAATCTTTAAGTGAAACTAATTTCCGGCTACATTCTTTATTTGTTGTTGCTGTAGCGTGCCTGTGTGTGTTGAAGAGGGAGGAAGAGGGAGAGAGATGGAAGTTTTGCTGACGCCCAGCAAAAAAACAAATTAAAACCAGACGAAAGTAAAATTTCACCCAAATTTTTGTTTGTTTTTTTTTCTCCCCGCTTTTGGTTTGCCAAACTGGACAAACAGGTTTTTGTTTTTTTTTGTCTTTCTGGTTTGTTTAGATTGTTTTTGTGCCGGCTTTCCGCGAAAGCTGTTAAAACGGCACTTTGCCTGCCCTCTCTCTTCGCCTTTTCTTCCTTCTTCGTTTTCCTTCGTTCCATCGCTCCCCACCCGCTACATATGTATGTACTTAGTGTGCGTGTGTGTGTTATGTGTGTGCGAGTCCCGTTAAACTGGTTTTGCTTAATGGCATCGCCCTCTCTTTCGCACGTAACGGTTTAAATAGGCATTTCTTGACGGCTTTTAACCCGTCAGCTTCGCTTATCAGCATCACCCACACTCACACGCATGCACTTGCACACATGCACACATTTTTTTCAAATACCTGAAAGTGTATGTACATATGTAGATAAATAATAAACACAAAGCACATTGAGTAAATAGCGAAAGAGATGAGTGAAAGAGATGCGGAATCTAAAGTGCATAATGGCTATGCCATTGTTAATGGCCCCGCAACGCAGCTGTTCTTTTTGGTTCTGCTACTTTTTGCCCCACCTCATTGCACTTTTGTCTTTGTGAATTTGTGCCACGCCCACATTTCCTTTGGGCGTCAGGGCCGGAAGTTGGCCAAGTTGAAAATAATGCAAGTAATGCCCAATCTTTGTCCGATTTTCAACAGATTGCGTCACAAGCATTCTATTTTGGATCTGTAGAATAGCCTTGCATCTTTCAGATACCGTTTGTATATGCCAAGTCTATCTATTTTTGCTTATCGGGATTATCAGGATTAGTCGCACTTTTATCTGTAAGCCGAAAATAAAGCTTTGGGTAATAAGGATATAAACGTCGTATACTTTACCACAAATTATAATGGCATAAAGTTCTGGAAAATTTGGAACCATTATCTTAGAATTTTGTTATCACATCCAATCTCCTTGCCCGCAATCATGCTACAGAACTCATAAAACATTTGAATTGTTTTTATTTTAACGGAAAAAACATCGGTACCATAGAGAAAATATGGCACTGCCGACCAATTTAATTGCCAATTTAAATTTTCAACAGCCCAGCTGTGTTTGTTGTTTAAATTGCTGGCGTAGATGTTATTGAACTGCAAATTCTAATAATTAATGACATTATTAAAAAGGAAAGATTTTTTGCATGAAAATAAGCAATCACAGATAGCCTTTCTTTTCCCATCATTTATTTCACTTTTGTCTTTTTTTTTTCTAACAACAAATATCTATGCCCAGATATTACTATGAATCACCACATTTAAAAATTCTAACAATCGCGTAACTCCGGTTTTTGCTATCAAAATTGCTTTGTTATTTGTTTAATGTTCCGCTATTGGCAGAAATCACCGTAGTTTTCTCCTATTTTACCTGCACCGTCACCACAAAATTATCGCTTTCGGTTTCTTTTCTGGGTAACCCGATCCTCCAGTTTGGTCGGTGAGGCGGGCTGTGACGAAGATCAAGATCAATTCCCCGAAACTGACTCAAGATCCAAATACGTATACGTATCGAAATCAAAATCAAAATTCGAATCTGAATACAAATCTAGTCAAGATGCGGCAGCAGCAGGAGCCAGCGATGTACTATTCAACCGAATCCATTCGAACTCACACAATATCCGGCGAACGTTGCCAATCCCATTTACTTGCAGCTGACAACAACAGCGTATCTGGCGGCGGTGCAGGCGGAGGCGCCGGTAACAACAATAGTGCTAATAGCGGTAAGAACTCGACGCACAGGATCGAAGAGACCAGTGCGATCACCAATCCATTGTTGGAAAAATGGCGCAAAAACTTCTACAGCGAACCGAAGAATCTGCTGGCGCAGAACGTCTGCTCCCGCGTGGATCCCTTCGATGTGTGCCTGTCCAGGAAGGCCCTGGAGACCACCAATCATGTGTTCAACTATAAGGTGGAAACGGAGGGTAAGCCGGTGACCAATCAAAGAAGCTCCGGCCGCTGTTGGCTGTTTGCGGCCCTCAACTGCATCCGCCTGCCATTCATGAAGAACTACAATCTGGACGAGTTCGAGTTCTCGCAAGCCTTCCTCTTCTACTGGGACAAGATCGAGCGTTGCAACTACTTCCTCAACAATATCGTAAAGACGGCACAGCGCGGCGAGAAGGTGGATGGTCGTCTGGTGTCCTTCCTGCTCCTCGATCCCACCTCCGATGGCGGCCAGTGGGACATGCTGGTCAATCTGATAACCAAACACGGCCTCATGCCAAAGAAATGCTTCCCCGAGAGCTTCAGCTGTGAGTCCAGCATACGAATGAACGCCATACTGAAGAGCAAGGTGAGGCAATCGATTTCTGTTTGAGTGTTTTGATTGTTTACCAACCAAGTCTATGTGTCAACTATCTATTTTAGCTACGGGAGTATGCCCGCAATTTGCGCGTGCTGCTGGACCAGAATCCCACGGAGGAGGAGATCGCCTGCAAGATCCAGGAGCAAATGGCCGAGATCTACAAGGTGGTGGGCATTTGCCTTGGCATTCCTTCGGAGACCTTCACCTGGGAGTACTATGACAAGAGCAAGAACTATCAGTCCATCGGTCCCGTCAGCTCGTTGGAGTTCTATGAACGTTATGTAAAGCCGCATTTCAACGTGGAGGACAAGGTGTGCCTGGTCACCGACCCTCGGCCGACTAGTAGCTATGATCAGGCATACACCGTCGACTGTCTGGGCAACGTGGTTGGCGGGCGCCCCGTTCTATATAACAATCAGTCCGTGGAGCTGCTCCTGGCCGTTGTCACCAAGTCGCTGAAGGCCGGCGAGGCCGTTTGGTTTGGCTGCGAGGTCAGCAAGCGATTCGCCTCCAAGCAGGGCATCGAGGATGTGGACGTGTGAGTGTCTACGAGCTGTTTATGTGCCTTGGAGCAATAGTAATTGCTTTATTAACTATTGATTATTGTTATAGCCACGATTTCAAGCTGGTCTTCGACATCGACATACAAACGACATTCTCCAAGGCGGACCGCCTGATTTTCGGCGAATCGGCCATGACCCATGCTATGGTTTTCACCGCCGTCTCCGTGGATGTGAGTACCACTAATCCAGCATGTAATAAGCTCGTTAATCAACAATTTGAATTGCAGAAGAGCGGCGTTGCCCAGAAACTGCGGGTGGAGAACTCGTGGGGCGAGGATCGTGGCGAGAAGGGTTATCTGGTGATGAACGCCGACTGGTTCAGGGAGTTTGGATTCGAGGTAGTCGTGGACAAGAAGTATGTGCCCGAGGATGTGCTGCGCGTGTTCGACATGGATCCGATCGTCCTGCCCGCCTGGGATCCCATGGGCACGCTAGCACAGTAGGTCGCCATCAAGCCACACCCCACACATATATATATATATATACATATATATATATTTAAATACAATATATACAAAGCTTTACGAGCAGCAATCTTCGAGCGGCATCCAAATGTTCGAGTTACCGGCTTTCAGTTTTTGTGTACATTATTTTGTTTCTTCTCTGGCCAGTTGCCACCGTTTTGGGAGATCCCCCAATCCTCAAGGTTTATGCACATGCACTATATCTGCGTCCATGTCGTCCCACAGGTCCTTGTCAATTCAGTAAAACGAAAATTTTTTGTGTTTAGCGCTTAGGTAAAGAAATATCTCAGTTCTCCCTCCCAAATTACGTTTAGTTTTGCAGCGGGCAGTTGAAAATATATACAATACAAACGAGAAATAAATGAATAATGTAAATGCATTTTTTACGTATATACAATTACATATTAAATAAATATATAAAAAACAATATTTGCTTTTCTCCTTAAAAAGAAAGGAATCTTGCCCCCCAATACATTTTACAATCTTTTTTTTTTACTCTTTGATCGGCATAATCTGCGGTTCCAAGTCCAATTTAGTTGCGCCTTTTCCGCATTCTTCGCTGCTCGTACTCGTAGCTAAGTCGCTGCCAAATGCCCAGGCACATCCGCACCAGACGCACATCCTTCTCGACGTTTCTTCTCGCGAAGTCGTACTGCTTGCGAATCAGATGCTTCGCTGCCCGCAGCTGACCCCGCTGGATCAGCGAAATGCTGAAGTACAGCTTGCAGCGCGTCTGCAGGAACGGATCGCCGAGTCGCAGGCCAATCTTTAACTGCTGCAGCGAAATCTTGCCGGCTGTCTCCGCCTGAAAATGGGATTATGCGATTAGCTGTGCTGGCAAGAGCGTGGATGCACTGCGTGGATCACTTACACATCGCTCGAACTGCTCGCCAAGGGCGGAGAATCCGCCGCCCAGAGTGGACAGCCAGGACATGAGGTGCTCCACCTCGATGTGCTCCCACAGCGTGTGTGCCAGCATGTCGGCGAATCTGTAGTCAATGGTGTCCTTCTCCGGTTCCTCAAATTGTAGCCATACAAGCTGGACGCCATTGGTGTGCCGGAGGCTCTGGGCCAGCACTTTCTGGTGCAGGAACTCACGCAGGTAGTAATTCCCATTAATGGCGTCCACATGGATGCGCAGCCTCCGCAACAGTTTTAATTTTGGGCAGGAGTCGCCGGCTTCCCGATTTGGACGATTGTGGTAATGACATCGCCGCCAGTAGTCACAAACACAAATGATCAGCGGATCCGACATTGGAAGTGTATTCGGCCCGTTAGTAAGGTCGAATTGTATAATTTTTATAAAATGTTTAAGTAAAACCTAAATATTCGGTATATTCCACAGGTTACTCGGTTGCCAGTAGTAGGTTGGCAGTACCCAGCTGCTCTCTACCTTTCTAGCTCGAAAGCCAGTTGTAGATAAATTGTGTTTATTGAACTATTGCAATTTTATTTCATCAAATGTTTTTTATGTTTTTGTTAAAAAGAATTGTTAATAACAAAAGTGTGCCCACCGCTAGAGCGCCAAGAAAAGCCACAATCGCTTGGATGTGGCAGCACTGGCAGCACGAAAGCTTTTTGGCGCTAAGAATTATTGGTTTTGAAATTCGGCGAAACGAAGAATACGTTATTTGCATTGGGCTTTTCGTCCTAACTTGGCCAACAATATTACAAGTTTTGTACAGCTAATAAACTAAATTTACGAATTATTACTCATTTTGGCTGATTTACGGTATTTACAATTTCGAGAGTTTTTCGCCAATTTGGTAATTTCATCAAAATTTGCAAAAAATGGCAAAAATCCAACATTTTCATGATCCAACTCTATTGGATTGGAAATTTTGTAACGAATTCAGCAAGGTATGCCGTTCCACATTCCAGCCATTATTTCTTAAGTTACAAAAAACTGAACGTTTTGAACCGAAAATCAGGAAAACGACTTTGCCAAAATAAAAGTAGGGGTTTTTCATCATAACTTGGCTAAAAGTGGTCATATGGCTGTTTTTCGCTTTTAAATAGAAAGTTTTGAATACAAGTCGATTGGAATTTAAATACTACGCTCATCAAGGTATGACATTCCATATTTCGACTATTTTTTTCCATTTGATGACCAAAAAAGTTCAAAATCACTTTCTAGAATTTTGATCAAACACAATATCACTTCATAGGTTCAATTTGAAATTGAAATTAAGTTCCACAGCTATCGATGATTGGATCCACATGCTGTGGATGCCATTTGGGCGCGTCATTCAAATTGTTATGGCACTTGCAATCGCTATTTAACTACGAAAATTGTTCAATTTCACACACAGCCCGATGCCGCATGTGTCAATAATTCTGCGTGAAAATGACTCAATTTCGCCGGAGTGCAACTGCATCTTTTGTGAGCCTTCAACATGGCCATTATCATTATCAAACAAATGTTTCGCCCCTCGATTTCTCAGTGCCAACACAAATCTGTTAGCAGTTGGCAATAATTGTACAGCCAGCGGCAACATTGTCCCCACACGTCTCCCCAAAAACCCATTTCCATTCATGATTTTCCCTTTTTCCCTACCACACCACACCAGACCATAGCAAACCATTTCATTTCCCATTTTCCCTTCCTTTGCGTGGCTATTTTTGGCCGCTGCTCTTTTATTGTTGCTGGCTATGTTGTCATCGATGGCATTAATTTTGGTAAGTGCGTCCGACTATATCCTCTCCATCGACTATATCGCTCCTTCGTCTATATCCTCTTCTTCTTACTCTCTCAACGCACGATTTTATGGCACGACATTTTTCTGAATTATGCGCCCAATTTCCGCTGAATCGAAGAGGCCCTTACATAAATCCCGACGCAATTCTTTATATGCGCATTGTGTAATATTAATTGGTCACAAGCCATCAAAATATAATTTGCACCACCAAAGGCATCGTTAAATTTATTTGACAGTTCCATACACTTGCATGCGGTATTATAAATTGTTATATTCATTTATTTAAACAATTATTGTGCATGAAATCAAGCAGCGAGTGAAATAAGTGATAGTAAAAGTTGGTAAGTTTTGTAGAGGTTCGTGGATATGCAATCAAGAATCGAGATGCTGCTAGGATATTTCCATATTCGCTACTGAATGTAGCATTACTTTTTCAAAATTTGTATGCAATTTTATTTCATAATTTTCACGCTTCGTTAAACGACAGCAACATTGTTGTGTTCGCTGCACTTTCAGAGCACGTGCGCCAGATGAAAAAAGAGAGATGAGTTTCTGGTCGAAAAGAAAAGGGAACTCCGTAAATAAAGGGGCAATGACAGATCCACGGAAAGATTTGTTTTGTGGGCGTGTCAGCAATATGTCAAAATTGCACTCGACAGTCGCGCATGCGTCCCCACAAAAAGGAATGACCCGTGTGCCTCCTCCTCCTGCTCCTCCTCTAGTGCTCATCCGCATCCTCCGATGATCATCCTGGATCTGCCCTTTTCGGGCTTGGTCGCTCGTCCACTTGAGAAGGCGAAAATAATGGGCATCATCGAGTTAAATAGTCGAACCCATGATATCCTGCAAAGTTACGGCTCTAGCTCCCAAGTAAATGTATAAAATAATATTCATATCGGTGGTTTTTAATAATGTTAGAACGAAGCTTTGTATTTTTGTGGAATATTTCAAATTATAATGAACCAATTCTCTGGACGAATACCCCATAAATATATATCCTATCTCTAGAAAACGTAAACAAGGCCTCAAGTGTCGGGCAGCAACAACAACAGCTAGCGGAAAAGCAGGAAATCTAAGGAGGAAAATTCGTAGAGCGGAAAATTGTAGGCAACAACATAAACACGGTTTCACTTTCAAAGTGATTAGCCACGGATGCGCCCCGGTTTTGTATCGAAAATCCAGAAATGACAACAAACACATACACTCGATAGGGAAAACTGTTTCGAAAACGGCACTGAGAAAATATTCAATTATTATTGGGTTTATTTGAAAAATTTAACAAATGCCTGGTTCCTTTTCACAGCTGCTTTCTTTTGCCAATCAAAAGTTGAAACACAAATTAATTGGAATCAAATTGATGTGAGAAAAATGTAGTCTTTAACATTCAATTGTTTGTTCGTACTTTTTAGGGCTTAAATAAAAATGATTTTAATTATTTGACTACTATTTTTGTCCAAGCGAAATTTGTTGCATAAACTAGTTGGTAGTTTTTTAGAGTGCCTGCTGAAAAAAGTGAGCAATTCGACACCAAGCGAGTGATGGAAACGACAGGCGACACACCTACAACCCAGCAACAAATGACACAGATGTGTGTGCCTGTGTGTGTGTCTAGAGTGGACCTACCACAGAGCCGGGCAACAATAAATATTCAAACTATTCACTTTACAGTGGCAGCAAACCGATCCGTTCGCCCTGCCAGCCATATTTCATGCCTCTTCAAGTGGCCAGTGTCCCATCCATCGCAGCACCGCCATCCGAATCCGGGCCACCCCATCCATGGGCCATTATCACCACATAATGATAGGGCTGTATATAAGACGGCGATCGCTGATATTGTCCGTCAGTTTACCAGCAGCGATAATAAAAAATAAAAAAAAATGCCTACACCCCAACAATTCATTGATTGTCCATATGGGGCAGTTATTGGCTGGATTAGTCACTTGTGTACTTAGAAAGTCACACTTGACCATCGAAGTCCCAAACTGAATCATGGGAATGCAGGTGATTCACTGTATGAGTGTCATTTTTTGGCGCACTTATTCATGCGGCATGAACACGAATAATAACAAACAAGTCTGTTTGTTAAGTTTTATGTGAGACGCCTTAAAAATCGACTAAAAATGATGCATTGCAGGGCGCCGCCTAAGTAGTGTAAAATCAATCATATTCCAACGAGCCATTTACATATATCCGTATAGTTATAGCTAATCGGACGGAACGATCGGCGGGGCATGCGACACATGGCCGCCTCTTATCATTAGTAACGACGTCACTCAACTTCACACGCCCCAGCCAAATTCAAAAAAAAAACTTTGACAACCCATCAAATGCGACATTCATTAGTCACACGAAAATTGTGACGCGATGCCGTGGCACCTGAGATTAATTGTACGACATATTGAACTTTGGCCAGCCATTTGAGCAACGAATACACAAAACCTTAAGCACATAGGCATATCCGTATCTTAGGAAGTTTGCCCATTTCCCCAAAAAGGGCCACAGCTTCAAAGGCAGAATGCTTAGAATTTAATCACACCATATAGCATATAGTATTCATATCTGGGCATGGCTGCTGCCAAGTGTGTCCATAAATAAGAACAAATTGGCATGCAATTCGCCGTAGAGCGGCGACCAAGTAGAACATAAATTTCTCATCACTTGCATAAAATTTTCACAAAAACAACGCACAAGAACAAACAGATGTGTCGCCGCCGATGGATTTGGTGGTCGGGGTACTTGGGCATGGGCATGTGATATGATATGGGGCCATATAGGATGGGATGCGTTTGGTGGGGATCTTCGGAAACGAGGGAAATTCCTCTAGGAATGCGATGCAGTTAGGCATGTTCTGCGCACACTTGGATACCAAAGGATTATCCAACTTGAAATTACTGAGTAAAACGTGATTAGGCTACCATCTAATCAAGAGCTCAAAAGCCTGGCATTCAGGTAAATGAATAATGCGAAACAAATAGGCGAAACACACACTTGGCAAAGCTAATTAAATCGCCGACTTTCAGCTACCCTCCCCCCAAATAATGGCACCATTTGGCATTTGAATTCATTTCCAGTAGATCGATGGCCTGGCAATTCTTTAAAATATCTATATACATGGCCATATACTCGGAGATCGATGTGCCATTGGCTCGAGATCCATGCGGCCTGTCAATCGTCGGCGGGGAGCGGGGAAAACTTATCGGAGTGTGGAAAACTCATTTTGGGGGTCGACGGACTCGCAATGATAACAAAGAGGGGTCGCTGGAAAATGGAAGATACGGTTTTATGGCTTCCTTTTCTCGATCCGACTACGAGTATCTCAACTTGCCAGCTCCTTGGGCCGCCATCGTCTAGCACTCCTCCTTCTTCGGCTTCCTCTAACTTTGCTCCGTAAATGCCCTATAAATTCTATAAGAATTATCCCTAAGATAATATTGCCAGAATATTAAAAGTGTGATCTGCACGTTATGTATTTATGACTCATGTTTGAGGAAACTTTTGAAAGGCAAACTTAAGATCATAGGTGGTTCCATACCATTCCACTTTTACACCTTCTATACTCGTATATGTATATACTGTATATTTTTGGAGATACAACTCCTCCTTTTGCCAGCAGCTACTCCACGCTTTCCCCATTTTCCACCGCATTTTCCAGCCTTTTTTCCGCGCTGCTCTTTCGTTGGTTTATCTCAATTAAAGCCGCGGCATAGTTTGTTTAAACAGAGAGGGAAAACTGGTGGAAAAACGTTCGCCTAAGAGAGATGGAGATAAAGTGCTATATAGCATAAACAAAATGGTAAATGGATAATCGCTTTTCCGCGTGGCATTTCCATTTCCCAATTGACTTCGTCCATTTTGAAATGAAATTCCGTTTCGTTTGGTTAATTTATGCTTCTGTTTTTGACTTTCGGTTTTTATTTTCCTTGCTTTTATTGCTTGAAACTGTTTCAGTTCTTAAATATAGCGACATCTGTATGTACTTGTATTTACATAGAAAAAAAAAGTAAACTAAAGTGTTAAGCAAAAAAAACGTATATTAAAATTACACTACAGTTTAAATCAATATGTTTTATGATTCTCTTGCATGCTTCTGTTTCACACAAATCAATTAAGTTACAGCTTAAGCTAAAAAAAAAAAGATTATTACTTGTAATGGTAATTTTTGATGTAGAAATACTTGTAATACTTGTTGCATTTATATTTGGTTTTCTGGCTGCTAATACTTGAATCCTGCACGGACCAACAAAATTAATTCTAAAATCAAGAATTAAATCCTTCTAACTTGGATTTCAGTGATAAGTAAGATTCTAGGTATTTGAATTCTTAAAAATTACGATTTCTAACAAATATTTCCTCTTCTTATTATTTTGGCTTAAACTTACTTATTTTGTTTTGGTTTTTTTTGGTTTTGGCAACTTTAAAGGCTTTTCGCTTGGAAACACTTTGGAAATAGATTCTTGATTTTAGAACGAATCTTAGGCATGAGATTTATATAGCTCTCGCTATGATGACGTAGTCTAGGTGTATTTAAGTTGTTACATTTAATCATTTTTACAGGCAAGCTAAGTGTTAAATCATAGGATATCTGATCCACCATCAACTGGGTTTAGTTTGACCTGGTTACTCCGATTTTGACCTTAGCGTGGCACCAGATCTATGTAGCTATTCGGCCGCATCATCTGGTGATGGGCCGCCGATCCGTAAAAACTTGGATAGGTGGCGCCCATTCCGTAGGCGGCGGCTGCCGCATGACGCGACACCTTCAGCTTGTCGTAGGCGCTGGCATAAGGGCCGTGGGCGTGGCTGTGGGCGTGGCCGTGGGCGTGGCCGTGGGCATGACCATGGTGATAGTGGGCGGCCGCAGCAGCGGCGGCATTGTGGTGGTAGATCGCACCGAAGTTGCTCTGCTCCTGGGCATATGGTTGCCCAATGCTCGAGTAGATGTTGGCCGCAGTCATCACTTGTGTGGCGGACGTAGCTCCTGTGCCCGCTGCTGCAGATGCGGCTGCTGCTGCGCTTGTTGCTGCACCAGCTGCACCAGCTGCCGCCGCGGCAGTGGCTGGCGGGGATGCGGAGCTGCTGGAGTGCGGCGTCAGAGGATGGGGCTGCTGCACCTGTGCCTGGTACGCGTGATGGTAGCTGCCATATTGCGTGTGGTTCTGGCTCTGTTGGAGCAGCGACTGCTGCTGGTTCGCCTGGTGTTGCTGGTGGAGATGTTGCTGCTGGGACTGGTGTTGCTGCTGCTGTTGCTGCTGCTGCTGCTGCTGTTGCTGCTGCTGCTGCTGGTGCTGCAGCTGCTGCTCCATCTGGTAGCTCAGCAAGTCGGGTGAGTTGCCGGAGGTGGAGCTGCTGGAGGGCGTGGCCGGCAGCTGCAGGACTCCCTGTTGCTGCTGCTGCTGCTGCTGCTGCTCAATGGCCAGTTCGCTGCAACTCAGGCCAAAGCTGCTGCTGGCCGCCGTTCGCTCCTTGAGTTGCTGCTGCTGCAGCTGCTGCTGCTGCTGCTGCTGCTGCTGTTGCTGCTGCTGCTGCTGCTTCATGCGCGCCTGGCTTTCGTGGCTCATGGAGGACATGCTGCTGCCACCGCCAGTTGTTCTGTAAAGGCAAACAATTGCAACTTCATAAGCATGTGTCATCCATAAATTCAGATACTCAGAAGCCTCATATGCCAATTTAAGTTAATACAATTAATAGAAATGTGAGCTTGACTCAAACAGAAGCTACAATAAGTGCAGGAGAATGTTTCGAGAAATATTGTAGATTGTAGCATAAGCCAAACGATCGGAGAACGCCTGCAAGTTTGGTAAAAAGGAAAACCAAACTGAAAATTATTTGAAGTATTCCACGTGATAAACAAGTTGCCCTAAGCACGGTCGTAAACAAAATTGGAAAATTGGAAATTGGAATCGCGCACTGCCCATTTGTTTACACTATGCTACCAAGTCGAGGCCTGCAGTTCGACAAATATGAAAAGCCCCGAAAATTGTTTATGCCGCCGGCACATCTGTCAGTCGTCCCATCACCATCATCATCAGTATCCATACCCAATCCCATTTCCATTCCAGCTCGACGTCCTCGGCATTTTGAAGTTCTTTTGTTTTTGAGTTATTGTTGCGTTATTTCCAGATTTTCAATATTTTCCGGGAACATCTATGTCTACGCCGAGTGTCGACCGAATGTCTAGTTCCACTTGGACTTGTGGGGATTTCAAGTTTTTGGGACTCTCAAGATTGCCGTCGTCATTGGAAAGTGGGTCAATTAGTCTACCATTTGTTATTATTTCATATTTTCATTTATACTATTTGTATAGTTTTGAAAGCAGTTCAACAAATTCCTCACTGAACCCCGTCAGCTGCTAAATTTATGTTGATACTTCTCTATTATCACGCATTTTTAATTGCGTGTGTGAGAAATCTAGAGCAAATCTAAGCACATGTTTTTGTATCTAATTTCATACAAATGCTTTGCCACAAATTCTCTGACAAATGCAGCGTTCAAATTTGCGCACAAATTTAGTTGGCTGCGTGCAAATTGATTTCACTTACACTGACCAAAATGAAAGTAACCAAAGCTCTAAAATACTGTGTAAAACATAGGGAGTTTGTATAAACTGGGGTGCTACTTACACATCGTTGGTGCCATCGTCCCGAAAGCCTTTGGCGAATGGATTGCTGGAGATCTTCAGCTGTGTCACCTGCAAGATGGCCGGAAAATGTTGGGAAATATTTTTACATTTGCATCTGACGACTAACTGGAGACAGGCGGATGGGGCAAACAAATAAATTAAATACCCAACAAATTAGAGAAAAAATGTTTACAACTGCGGCGCGGCAAAAATGATTTGCGATAAATTCGAGGGCGGGTGGAAAAAAGAACAGTGTTAACACCCACATTGAGCGCATAAATAACTTAAATACTTTCCCAACCATGTCTAGGCTATATTTTTAGCCAATTGTTCACGGACTCCCCTCCCGCCCCCACCTGAAATTCCCCTCTCCCCTCTCCCCCGCCCAGCGTTATGAGTTATACTCAAGGAAAAACGAGGAAGCCGAGTTGTACCTCGCTTCTCCATCCCACTTGCGATTAGATATGGGGTTCACCTCGATAAGGGACACCAGTGCACTTACAACACCTGAATTTTGGACTTGAGCGTTATCTTGAGCGTTTCCATGGAACATGTGGCTTGTGCTTTTTTGCCTACAACGTTGGCTGGGTATAAAGTCCACGTTTGGATAGAGTATCTGCATTCCGGCCAGGCACAGCACACGCCTATCCCACATACATGCATATAATCAAATTTATTTGTGCTGCTTTTTGGTCCGAAGTGTATGGGGTTGGAATAAATTCCGCTGTTTGTGATAAATTATGGGCAAAACATAAACAAAACGGCCGAAACGGCACAAAATGGTCGCAACCTCTTGGCCGCTCGGAGTGCCAAGGAATGATTCAGTAAACTGCCAAGCGGAATTGCATTGGGCAATTAGTGAACGGGCCAGTCCATGTCTCTGACTTCAAATGTTTCAAAAAGTCGCCATTTTCGATTGAAAATAATGCTTATTGCTCACCCGCTGATTCTGGTAGGCAGTTACGGCCGTAAAGCTCGTTTCCGGAAAGATGAAAGTGCGAAAGTGACTGGAGTGCTCGTTCTCATCCAAGGACGCGTTCTTCGGCGGCAGGTACACCAGATGGAATCGCGGCTGGTAGCGGTGCATCGAGTTCAGAATGATCTGCAATGCATGGGAAGAGCCAATTGAAACGAGTATAAATGGAGGATGGAAAGTACGAACTTACATGGCCATTTTCGTCCAGCTGATTGTTGGTCAGCTTCAACTTGTCGAAGGACACGATCTGCTTCATCCAGTTGGAGCCGGCGGCAGGGGAGTCGGGATGCACATGGATCCTGGGCGGGGAAATGGGATCCGCTTTGCCGGCCACCACCCAGCAGGAGCTTCAGATGAAAGGGCAATCAGTTGGAAGCTAGAACTTGGAGGGCGTTGCCCAGGCATTTACTCACTTGTGGAAGGCGTAGCGATAGCGTTTGTCGTCCATGGGCACAAAGTCCATCATGCAGATGTAGGTGGCGTGGGGATCGAGGCCGCCGATCCTCACCTGGAAGGTGGGGAACATGCGGCGGCCCGTCTTGGTGATGATCATCTCGGTGCCCTGGGCGTGGAACTGATCCCACAGCGCCTTCGTCTCCAGCACCACAATGGCCTGGGCGAGCGATGGATGCACTGGCTCCGCTTCCTAGTTGCCAACACGAAGCCATATTCAAACGATCTACCATTTGCATCAATTGGTTCGAACTTACCCCTTTGCTGATGCTATGGCTGCTGGGCTTCACTGTACCGTGCTCCGCACTGTGGTTGTTGTCTTTTTTGTGCTGCCCCTTGAACTTCTTGGCTGCCGCGGATGCACTGACTCCGCCAGCTGCCGTTGCCGATGTGGCTGCGGAGCCGCCCGCTGTCGGCGCCATCGAGGCTTCACTGTTGCCGCCGGTATAGTCGGGTGGCAGCGGCCCTGCCGACGACTGATCCTGGCAGCTGGGATTCGAGATGGCATTGCCGCTGGCCAGACTGCTTCTGGTGCTGCTGGTGCTGGTGGTGCTGCCTGTACTGTGCGTCTCGATGTCCGCCAACTTGGCATCGATCTGCTCCAGCGGCTTGTACGAGCTGCGATCCTTGCCAGCCGTTTGGATGCAGGCTGAAGTGAAGCACCAGTTTGTGTTTAAGTGAAGCACCAGTTTGTGTTTAAGTGCGGGTTAAAGTGGAGGTTAAAGTGGGGGTTACATACTAAGAGGCATCTATGTATTATTTGCAGACTTTTGTAAGTTCATTCGCAAACTGCAGTGACATCCTTAAGTCAGTTCACCCCAGGAAAATTGCTGGCAACTAATAAACAATGAAGAGATCTCAATTCAATCCCCTATTTTCATATCCCTGACAAATGGGCGGAAAATATGCGGCTATAAATCAAACACGTACCGCGTATTCGCGTTCATTCTATGGCAAGTGAATGGGTTTTATATATAGCCGCTGGGATTTGCTAATTTCATATTTAATGTGATTTATGCGATTTAAATGGGCAAGTGGGGCAAAAAACACGTAGACGCCACGTCGGCGCGGAGTTCCCAGTTCTGAGTTCTGAGTTGTGATTAAAGGAGTCTCGTAATAATATAATATATGGTATATAATGAGCCGACTTTTTAAGTTCCGAGTTTCGAGTTTCGGGCAAATGGGACAACATGTCCAATTATAAAAGAGGCGTCTGAGCAGCGGCTGCTGATTGAGTTGCCTGCTCTAAATTTAGGATCTCCCCTTTTCGGGGGAGCCTGTAAAATGGTATGGGCTGGCCTGGGATCGGATGGGATTTTCTGCAATTAATTGTCACCGTCTCGGTGTCTCGGTGTCTCGGTGGCTCGGAGTGGCGGGTATTCCATTGCCAATGCCGCGAATGACCCATGACAGGTCGCCTCTTTATCGCTAAGTTGCTCCCCTTTTCCCTTTTTCCTTTTTCCTATTTGTTGCTTGTTTTCTTCCCATTTTTTGGCATTTTTCGCTGCACGAATGAATTCTAAAATCAATTAACGTTTGGCACAACAAATCGTTTTTCTGTCACATACACAACATCAAACAACAACAAAAACGGAGAAATGCCACTTGAAATCTCGGGGATCCGGGAATTCTGAGCTAATTGATCGGATATTCTGGTTTTCTGGTTCTCTGGTTTTCGGTTTCTCAGTTTTTCAGTTGTAGTTTTTCAGACTTCTTGTTATTTGTGCCGCCGCTGCCATGCTCGGTGTATTTTGCTAATTACTCTATCGGAAACGGATTTCGTTTCAGTTTTTGGGTCACTTGCAGGCAGACAAATGATATGGAAGTGTAATACCATTGGGAAATTCCAGATTCAGATCTGGTGGTCGAATAACTCAAGAAATCGGTAAAAAAACCAAATCGAAATAGCCAATTGGAAAAGAAGACTCTATGACTTTGAGTTTGTTTCGATACAATATACTTGATAAGCATATTTCATAATATTTGCACAAATATCAAGTATTAAATATCAAGTTAACTTTACTTCTTAACTTTAAGAAGTTTTATAGTGTGCTTTGCTGGATTTTAGATATGCAGAAATGATCTATTAAAATCATGAAATATGTGGCCATTTAGCAACGTAAAATTGCAAGTTTTGTAGCAGGAGTTAAAAACGAAACCACTTTTGAGTGACTTTCGAATATATCTTGAGCATCTGGGCAGAGGGGCCAATCCTCTCCAGCTGAGGCACTCAGGCGACTCACCTTCGATCTGCTTCATGGGACTGAGTCCGCCGGTCATGTAGGGCGATGTCCAGTAGTCGTTGGCGTAGCAGTTGTAATCCGGAAGGCTGGTGTCCAGGAACTGCATGGAGGTGGTCATCATGGCGCTGGCGCACTCAGTGGGACCCATCAGGTGCGTCATCGCGAGCGGTGGATCGGTGGATCGGTGGATATATGGTGTATGTAGCTGGATATCTGGTGCTCACAGTGGAAGAAAGGAAATCGCGGCGAGTTCTTGGCCCATTTATTCCATTTATTCCGGCTTGATTTGTTTTGTCTGCGGTGTTTTGATCTCGTACGTTTTTCGCGCAGTTGTCAAATTTGATTATTGCACCCACACACAAACACTCTTTCACTCAAACACTCACTCACTTTGTGCACTGCAAAAAAAATTAAGATGAAGTGGTCTCTATTTGGGGTGCGAAAATCCACCGCAGCTTTTCGCAGTTGTCAATCAGAATCGAGATCGAGATTGTGAATCGAATGGGAAATTAATTCTCGTTTTTTTCGCCTGCTTCGCTTCGAATTGTTTTTATGGCCCGATCGCGTTGACTGGCGAAAATTTGCTCGATCTCTTTTTGTTTTTGATTCTCTGTTGTTAGCTGATTGATTGACTTGAACTTCTTTTATTTGTTTTTCTATTGCGCCTGGCAGAAAGCGTTGAGTTGTCTCAATTGCCACCTTCTTCCGGCCAAGTGCGAACTGATTATCCGTATAGTATCTGTTTATATCTCGCGGATGTACCGATCTGATCTGATCTGATCTGATCTGATACGATCTCTGGGTGCCTAGATCTCCGATCACGCACACATCCGTTCCGTCAAGCGCTGGTCCGCCGAATGAGAGTTGCCACTGCTGGGCAGATGCACCACTGCCTCTCGAGATCTCGAGATCTAAGATATCGAGCACAGCATCTCCCCGAATCCATCCCAGCCAATCGCCGGCCGCAGCATCCAAATTTAGACTCGCCAGCCGCAGCGATCGATCCACCAATGGCCGAGCCGTCTGCTCCTCCTCCTCCTCCTCCTGCTCCTTGGATCGCACCGACATGTGTGGTGCCTCTCCTGGCATCGTTGAGCACGCGGTGGATGTATCCGGGTAATATGCCGTGCGGAACTGCGCGTAGGGTGCTTGTTTGTGGGCATTTACCAGATGTGGCTACAGTGAGGCTTGGGCTTGGCTGGAAATTAGCTGTGTGATATGGAAACTACAAAAAGTGCACCCAACTTTCATTGGTATAATGTAGAATATGAGCAACTATCCTTTAGAGGCCACACATCACTGTGGTCCCCAAACTTTTCACTCATTTCTGCTCTACTGTACACAAGATCCCTCTCTCTTCTTCTCTCTTTCTGGGAGGGGCGTGGCCTTTGACCGTGGAGAGGAGGTGCAGGAGGTGATCCCCACTTGCGCATATTGTTTACACTTTTCGGGGGCGCTGAGCAGTGGGCGTGGCCGCGGAGTGGGTGGCTAACTGAGTCATGGGCCTCATTTGGAAAACGCTTTTAATTGGACTGCGGCCACATGGTGTTGCTGGCTGCTCAATGCTGCAGTGCAGCCGCTGGTGCCGCTCCTGCTGCTGCTGCTGCTGCTGGTGGTCATAAATACAAATTGCGCCATAACCTCGACACTAAATAAACCGTAAAAGGGGAAACGGAATATTGGGACGCTGGAAAGGTTCACGGAGAAAATGATTTACAAACATGTATTTGAAATTGACAAATCAATTAAAAATTTCGAAATTACTTTGTAAGCTTATTAAAATTTGTGTTAACTGCAATTTTATGTTAATTTATTGACTACATCTCTGCTTCACTTATGACCGATGTTTCCACACGAGAATCGAATTTCCTGCGAGATGTGCATGTGCATTTGCGCTCAGTGTAGCGGGCCGCAACAGGAGCAAGCGAGATGGGCAGTCGGGCCGCAGCTCCACGAAAATGGCGTCTGTTGGCCATTAGAGCCGGAATGTTGGCCCGGCGGAGATCCGGGGAGCCGAGCAACTGGACCGATCAAAGTGAAACAGCCCGATTAACCGGGTGCGTCTGCTTTGCATCAGCCACGGGCGTTCAATTAAACATATATGTACCATCTATATAGTATGTGGTACCTGGTATCTGGTAACTGAACCGATTTGTTTATGCCCTCCTGTGTATATAAATCTACGCATCCAGTTGCGCCCAGGATTTACGGAACTGCTTGTTAATGTTTTTCCTTGATTTTCGTTTGCCGCACTGTTTACAATTATTTTGAGTTAAGTGGTTCGTTCTCCAGCTTACCAGTTCAATTTCGTTTATTTTTTTGGCATTTTCGGAATCATTTTGATCGCAGCACATCCCACTATGCAGTCCATAAATAATTCATAAATTTCAAAAAATTGTTATGGCATTGGCCATGCCATTAGTCGTTAATTTCATTTTATTTGTTCGAGTGTAAACAATTGGATATGCAATGCAAACTGTTTCGGAGAAACTAATTTGAATGATTCACAAACGTGTGGTATTAATTCAATTTTTATCGATAGTTAATTTAGTTAATTTTAATTTTAAAAATATATAGAATTTAGCGCTCCAACTGTGCATTCTACGCATTAAATATGGACTCAATCATGGCTGAAATTGAGTGACGAATTCGTGGGATGGAAGGTTTATTATTTTAGCTTGTAACGCAAATTTGGATTTCAAATCAAAGGCTGAAAATCGGGCGGATTGAAGGAATTTCGAATTGGAATGGATACAAAAGCCGTTGAATTCCAGAAAACAAACAACACTCTACTTCTTCTTGCGATTCTTCTTGGCCTTCTTCTTGTGAACGGCAGCCTTGGATGGCGCACAGTTCTCCAGCTCCTTGGACAGATCCAGAGGATCCAGGGGATCCAATGGTGCAATCCGCTCCAGCGGCTTTTGAATGGATAAGAATTCGAGTCCATCGGAAGATGCGCAGTTTTGGTCCTGGTCCTCCAGATAATCATCGTCGTCCGCGTTGAAGTTTCGGGGACTGGAGGCGTCCGTTGGATTGTGCAAGCCACCGATGGCAGCATCCGCGTTCTGCAAACTGCCAAGAGTCTGCATCAAAACAGCGGCTTTGATCATCTGGCCATAGCCCTCGACCTTGCCGAACTCGCCCTCCTTTTCGCTCACTTGATTGGGCGTCAGGACGATCGGCTTCCAGCTGAGATCCAGGGTGGACATCTTATTGGTGCCGATGTTCTCCAGTATGCTCTGATTGGCCAGCACGCGACCCTTGTACGACAGCCGACTGAAGCCCATGGGCACGGACATGGCGCTCCCGATCCGGGTCTTCAGATTGCCCACGGTTTCATAGCGATCCACCTCGTAGACGGTCTTCCGGCCGTCGCGCGTCTGAACCAGGACCTGCACCTTCCGCATCCTGCTCCTGATCCCCGACTGTAATGAATGTATATAAAGTGGTGGTTAAAGTTACACGCGATCTATGTGTGTGTTTCTAGGGCTAGTCCGATTTGGTCGGGGGAAGGTTTGCTTCTGGATCCCCCTTTGGAAAAACTGTCCGCATGCGAGTGCGAGTGTAAAGTCATGGCATTCCTAAGTCAACTGGGTTCAGCTTGCTTATGCTCCAATCAGATTTCATTAGCAAAAACAAGGAAGCCCAATGCCACCAGAATGTGCAAGAAAATACCCCAGGTAAACAAACCAAAAGGTTTATGCTAAGGCAGTTGTATCAAATGAAAAGAAAGGCACGAATTCCCATGGAAATGGTTGATTAAGTTGCAACCAACTATTTAAACAACTATGATTATAGCCTATAGTGATACCTATTTGTATTTCCATGTGTGTAGCCATGGATATTTTCAGTTAACAAATCGCTGGTCCAGAGCACCAAGCACAAGCTGATCTATTTCCGCACATCCAGTTCAATCGAATGGAAATGGCCCCGGAAAAGCAGCCGTGAAAAGCAATTGACAAACATTCGGAGGCGTCGACACATTTATGCTCCCCTCATTTGCGCGGAGAGCTTCCGGTTTGCTTACTTACTGGTACTGGTGCTTGGTGCCCGTGGGTTTGGATGGACTGGGATTGGGACTCCATACACACAGCGGCGTAATGTCAACTTCAGGGCAAACCGTCAAGTGCCGCCCGTTGACAACACCTCGTAATGCAAACAAAATCCTTGTTTACCCTCCTTGTTTACTGCATTCAAGTTTTATATTTACTTGGCTTCACAAATAAATAATATATTCAAAGTGCTGAGGAAGGAAGTTGGTATATTATGGCTGCTTAAGTTTTGCAAGTTTTTTACTTAGGTATCCCAGATATCATTCTAGATGCCAGAATGTAATAACTTAACCATTTGTGATTTCTCTCATTTGGTTTATTTGTCTTTCTTTAGCAGGGAAAATACAGAGTTTTTAATAAAATATTAAGAGACATTCAAATAAAATAGTGATAAAAATAAAATATTGATAAGAGAAATGTGGCGGAGGAGGGCGAGGAGTCCCATTTCTGATTTCCCTCATTTGGTTTATTTGTCTTTCTTTAGCAAGGAAAATACAGTTTTTTAATAAAATATTAAGAGACATTCAAATAAAATGTGGTGGCGGAGGGGGAGGAGCCCCATCCGTGGAGTCCCACTAGTATAGAAAAATAACTGGGTAGGTTGCAGGATGGACGCAGGGACTGGCGTCCATGGACGCGTCTGGCCGCTCCGCCTTAGAGGCTCCAGGCGGCCAGGAGACCGCCGATCAGCAGCGACATGGACATGAACACCTGGGCGCCGGAGTCGCGGGCCAGCGGAATGTTGGTATCGTTGGCCAGCAGGAAGTTGCAGCCGCGTCCCTCGCACGTGTAGCAGTTGCCATCCTTGACGCACTGCTTGTTGGCGTTCGCCGAGGTGAGGCAGCCGCGCTGGAAGGATCCGTCCACGGTGCGATTGCTGTTGCGGATGTAGCACTTGTCGCCAAACTTGTACAGCGGACAGATCTGGGGCGACACATAGGTATCCTTGCCGCAGGCCGATGTGGTCGAGTTTCCGGAGCACTGCAGGCACGTCTGGCGGCTCACCGGGAAGGTGTTCCGGTTGCATCCCGCGCCGTAGGTGCACAGCTGGCATATCAGCTCGTTGTTGCACGAGTTCCGGGTGGCGTTGTCCAGGTCAACGGCGCATCCGCGAATTGTGTAGCCATCTATGATAGTACAAGGCATGGGCTAACTTGGCCAGCTAAATAGGAGTAAATGTATCCACAACTAACCTTGGATGCGGGAGTAGCAGTTGGAGGTTCCATCGGAGCAGTCGCGTTTCAACAGGCTCAAAGGATCAGTGGCGCAGCGTTCGTTGTCCTTCGAGTGGCACTGGATGCATCCATCTGCGAATTGAGCGAGTGGAACGGAGCGTTTCGATTGAGTCTTGGCCATGCCTGATTAGATTATATCCAGTTATTGCAACCTTTTTGCAACCATTGACAATATGTTACTTTGGTGCAAAGCCCTCTTCCACATTGTGCATAATGTGCTCGTACTTGTTCCTATGATTCATATCAGCCCCATTTACTACCTGCTCTGCCTCGTACTTATGGCGCCCACTTTACAACAGTATTTGATTCTTATCAATTGCTGTTGCTCACTGCCTCAAAATGAGTCAACAGAAATAAGTTGATATTTCGAAGAAATCGAACGTTTCGGTAAACGCACGCCTGCACACAAATTATTTGAAAATTATTGTCAATGTTGAGCTTTTCAGGGGGCAGTTGATTCACAAAATATTTGCAAGCACTTACGAAATTGACTGATAAAGCTATTCGACTCTTAATTTAATCACTGCTGATAAAAGTGCATACATGTGTATATGTATGCGTATATATATGTGTACATATATGTGTACATATATGTGTATATATATGTGTACATATATGTGTATATATATATATATATATATACATATATATATGCATATATATATAATATATAAATATATATACATGTGTATATATATGCGTATATATATGTGTACATATATGTGTATATATATGCATATACATATATATGCATATATATATAATATATAAATATGTAATATATTCATATACATGTACATATGTATGAATATATATCTATATTTGTACTCGTTTACAAATGATTTGCCGGCTAAACACACTCAAAAACCAATACAACAATTTTTAGCCACACAGAGCGCCGGTTTTGAAGGTTTCTTTGCAACTGGCCTATTGATATCTTATCTTGAATTTATTTTCGTGTCCATGAGACCATCGCTGATCACAATACGCACTGGTATTACTCAATTGTTTAATTGAAACACCAAAAACAAAAGAAAAAAAAAACGATCCTGATGAAAATCAGGAGTAAAACTTATTTTGGGGGTAGGAACACCATTTACCACAGCTGATGTAGGCCAAAAACGAAACGACAGCGATCACCAACAAGTAAAGCTTCATGGCTGATTTATATAAATTTAAACTTGTACAAGTGGGGCAAAGTTAATAACAAATTTCACGACGGTGCGACGGGTAGTAGAGCTGAGCCAAGACTGATGAGAGTGTCGAGAGCTCGGTAGTCAACTTAGAGTTGACGAGCTTATATCCTATCCTATAGCTTCAGCAATAAGAGATAAGGCACCCGACAGCGCTAATCGCACTGATATGGTGAGTTGAACATACACGTATAGTTATGACTGTGATTCACCATGTTTTTTATTTCCAAATAGTAATGTTGAAAAACAGTAACAGAGGGCTAAACCCCTCACTTTCGAATCATCAATATGTTTTTACAATATTTCTTCCTATATTATCTGCCAAAGCCGAACGAATGTTACATTTCATGTGCAATCTAAGCGCATAAATATTCAAATCCATATATAAGCGCGCATTTAAATGCGTTCCACAATAATCGATAACTCACCGATAAGTGCTCGTTGCCAGAGTTTAGCAATTACAAAGTTTAGCGAAATATAATTTTTATTTTTGCATAGCTATCAATGTTTTGTGTAGTAAATCTATAATTGAAAACTACATTTTCAACTTCTTACATCCGAAAATTTGAAAAATATGGGAAATATTTTGTTATTCTGAGTGGAAAACGAAACGGTCACACCACAAGGGCAGAAAAAAAAAATCACTTTTATATCCAATCAAAACAAATTTGTGTACAGAGAAAAGTTAATATATACGGCGATGAGCGTCACACCACGCACACCTGCCACTCCGGGCACACCTGGAACTCCTGGCAGCATAGCCAAGGAAGTGGCCCGCATCCAGAATTCGGCCCTGGCCGAGTTCAAGAAGCCCACAGCAATGGTGCGCCACAAGAATAAGCCAAAGATCCTCACCGAGGAAAAGTACATCGAGGAGATGTCCAAGATCATCCAGCGTGACTTCTTTCCCGATCTGGAGCGGCTGCGTGCCCAGAACGATTACCTGGACGCGGAGTCACGGCGCGACTTTGTCCTAATGGCCGAGATTCGGGAGCGCTACAGTCTGGGCAGGATTCCTGGGACAGGAAGAAGCATCAGCCGAAGGAGAAACCAGCGGAATAATGGTGGGTATTGCACTGGACTGAATAAACACCATTGCGACTGCTTAACAACAAATACCTTTTTGTGTTACCAACTTAAGTTCTGATGAAATTATAATTATATATGTATAGTGCCAAGTTCAATAGATAATCCATTAATTATTTGAATTCTTTCATTTCAGCCATGTCTCCGGCCACATTTGAGACACCAGTGAGTCAGGCGAATGGTAGCAATACCCCATTGCCCAATTCCCGGGCCACAGACACACCAATTTCCACTGACGGCTCCGAGAATAGCGATGCCGAGAGCAGGGACACCATCTCAAACCTATCGCTGGACGCCTTTCTGCAGAAGTACACCAGCGAGGATAACCAGAGCTTTCAGGAGATCATCGAAACGGCGGAGGCCAAGCTGCGCCAGAAATACGCTGTGCTGTACAACCATGAGAAGCTCTCCGCAGAGCAACTGCAGCGGGCTCTCATTCTGCCCAGCATAGAAAAGCAATTTGAGGAGCCAGATCCGCTGAGGAAGATAGAAACCTGGAACTACACCAACATGAACTCCATTATGTACGTGCCCGATGGCGTAGCGTACACAGAGGAGGAGCGCGTCCAGTTGGCTGAGCGAAAGCAGAGCATCCAACACAATGCCACCAGGCTGCCAGATGAGGCAAATCACCGCGAGATGGATACTAAAAAGCTGGCGGAAGTGCCACAAAATGGTGTCGGTCAAGCCAAAGCGACTCCAAGAATACGCGGATTTGATTTACTGCGCTCACCATCACCGCGACCCGGAGAAGCTTTCTCGCCCATCATGACGTGGGGTGAGATCGATGGCACTCCCTTTCGCCTGGACGGAGGCGATACCCCAATGCGTCCATCCCATGGACCCTCGTTCCGGATTAATGAGAACTCCCGGCGTGAAAACATCGCCATCGCTTTGGCCGAGAAAGTCAGCGAAAAGATGCGAAACCAGAAACAAATGGCTCTGGACACGGCGCGCCGAAACATAGGATCTCCATTAATACGCACCAATATGGAACGACTGGCCAGCATGTCGCCGGCAGCCCAACTACTGGCCACGGGTAAGCTGGGTATACGGGGAACGCCCAGGTTATCACACACACCATCACCGCTGAGTGCCAGAAAACGGAGGGTCACACCCGGTGTGGTGAGGAGCACCAATACGCCATTGGGAGTACCCAAACAACTGCCGTCAAGGATCAACACTCCGGCCAAGAACGCCACTATTGATACGGGATCCACGCTCACGGACGATCTGCTCCATATACCCACTAAGCGACGAACTGCAGCCGATTTCTTTTAGCAAATACTGTTGTCGCATTGTTCATTTTTAATTTCATTAGAATACGTCATAATCCTACACTGTTATCACGAAATGTAGATTTCTTATCCGTGTTAAAGAATACGTCATCTGATATAGATGGCTTAAATAGAGTTGTTGGAGAGATGATTTTATACTGAATGCTAAATCATTAATTTAATATTAGCACACTCCTTATCAGCTAAAAGTTCATTCAGATGTGTTCAGCTTTGTAGCAAAAACCCCAGCACACATTTCTAATAGTTTTCAAATGGGAATTCAGATTGGTTTATAATTTTAATGTTTTAATACAAAATCCCCATTACCACAAATAACATACTGATTAACAAGCTAGAACTTCTCATCCCGGTAGTCGACGTGATCGCCGGATTTGAATTTGAATGCCTCCAGGACCTTGATGAACCGCTCCGTCGTCTGGGCGGGAGTTAGCATGGTTTTAGACTCCCTTTGCTCACGGAACATGGCGACCACGGCGGGATCATGAGCCTCTCGCTGGACCTGAACGGTCATCTGGGTGTCTATGACGCCGGGCGCGTAGTTGAGCACCAGGGTGTCCTCGGAGGACTCCTCGGTGGCCAGCACCCGGAAGTACATCTCACGGGCTGCTTTCACCGTGCAGTAGTGAGCCATCGAGGATATGGGAGCAATGGCTGCCAAGGTGCTGAGATTAACCACCAACTTTGGGATTCCCTGGAAGACGCGCATGAATTCGCAATTCAGCGAAATGGCGGAGAAGACATTTGAGTGGTAGTAACTCTGCAGGAAGTCCGTATTCCCGATTTCCTTGGCCCTCTTGGACGTATCACCCACTGTGCCGGCATTATGGATGACTATGGCACGCTCAAAACTGTTCTTTCCGCCAGAAGCCTCTATAATCTTGTTGAAGTCCTCCGTTTTGGCCGTTTCCAGCTCCAGCGAGTAGGTGTGCACGGAAAGACTTGGCACTGTGGCCATAATCGCCGCCTTGGTCTCATCCAAGAGGGCCTGGTTGCGCCCCAGTAGCGTCACAATGGATCCCTCGGCTTTAATCCGCTTGGCCAGTTGCTGGGCAAATTCCCGGCCAATTCCACGGGAAGCCCCGGTCACCAGGAGATATGTGCGTTGATTCAGGTCCATGATTACGCCAAAAACCAGACTCAATTACTTTCTAATTTCCACACGCTCTGGCGGCAACAGTTGGCTGTCTTTTTTCTTTAACTCGCTTTGGCTTTTACCTGATTCGACAGCTTTTTCACAGCTGTCTAAAGCTTAGGCGTTTTTTAAGGTACAGGAGCGTAAGCAAAAACTACTCTCTAAAAGGGGGGACCTAAATAATAGTTTCAATCATTTATAGGTTTTTAGAAATTTGTAAGGATTTTCTAAAAACAATTTTCTTAGATTTGTATGAAAAACAGATACGGCTACAGATAATGCTTTGAATTTCACCACAAAATACACAGTATTTTCCATGTGTAGTTTTGGGCTTTCTTTCACATGTGCTTTGGTATACAAATAGCTAATAAACTTTATTTGGCAATAAATATATAGGGGGGATATAAGGGCCCCAACCCCCATATGTCCACCCATGTCTTGCGCTCTCCGGCTTTTACGCTCTTGATTCGCACATTCTCTCACTCTTTAAGCTCCACTTGATGCAAAAGGTTATCGCAGGCTCTTGCTTAACAATTAAATTTAATTAATTGCCTGTGTTTTATTAATCGCATTGTTAGAGTGAGCACTTTACTGCATATATCAAAACCTATGGACCTTATGGAAGAACTATTGTATATATAATGCGTGTTAGAGAGTCAATGTCAAGGTCGGCGTCTTAAAGAGTTAATTCGATTGATCTTCTCTCAAAAGCTCTGCAACTTTGTAGTTAAGTGCAAGCTTCGCAATTGTCATTAAACTTAATTATTATTTTTATTTCCCTCCGATTCAAGGGGAAAACTGTAAAAACCTACTGATTACAGAAGCTTTGCAACATGGTAGGGAAGCTCCATTTCGAATTCCTGATTGCCTTTTACATTATTTCTTATTTCTGATTGGGAAAGCTTAGCAACATTTTGAGCAACTTATGGCAATGAATTTTATATTTCTATATTTGCTATAAGGAATACCCAAAAGTATGCCCTGAATATAAAACAGAAAAGTAAACTGAAAACAAAATTGGAAGCAATGAATAGATTTAATCGGAATGAGGCGAACCCAATTATTTAAAGCTATATGGATTAAAGACTATTGTATTTTGTAGATATGCACACCAAATGACTACAAATTCAAACAGCTGCAGTATACAAATTTTCATACCGAAATGAGAAAACCCGGATCAAGAATCAGTCTATAAAGAGTATTTAAAGATTTAAAGATGGCCCAGCAACACCACCCATACTATTGTATAATTTTGAACACGTGTGGGTTTTCTTATCACTAAGTCGACTTGATCTGTCTCATGTTGTTTTAAAATTATTTTGTGTTTCGATCTATCATAATAATTGTTTAATCTGCTGTACATCGCTGATTCATAAATTCACGCTGGCGTACATACAAATTTACCTAATGTGTAATTAAGTATATACGTGAGTACACCTTTTCTGAACTTTCGTTTTGAACTTATTAGGGGTGTGTTTGAATCGGAAATGCCTTCTATCCTTATCTACAGATAGACTATTGCAAGTAGGAAGTCCTTTCAAGGAAAGATAGCTCTTTCTAGATTTCTCCCGCCCACCCACTTCACAAAATAAAAAATATATTTTCTTTCGTTTTCCTGTTCGTGTGCTAGATTTTCGTGCACTTGCAGGTCTGAAATCAGGGTCATTGGCCAGATTTTATTCATTTCCAAGGCAATCAAGTCATGTACAGCATCCCAATCGTTAACCAAGAACAGAACCGAGTCCATCAGGGACGCAGCCCACCACCACGGTGCTACTCATAAAACGAAGGTGTCGTAGTAGTCGACATCGTGACCGGAGACAAAGGAGATCTCCTCCAGAATGTTGATCAGCTTGAGGGTGGCCTGGCAGGGCTGGATCCTGGGCAGCTGGAGCAACTTCTTCGAGGCGACCAGATCGGCGGGAGTGATCCGATTGCCGTTCACATCGCATTGGCCTTCGTGGGTGGCCATCAGTCCGGGTGAGAAGCTGAGCACATGGACACCGAAACGATACTCCTCGGCGGCCATGGCGCGGAAGTACATGTCCCTGGCCCGCTTGCAGGAGCAGAGCAGCCCGGCATGGACCAATGGGCGAACCATCAGGGAGGAGGTAACGTTCACCGCCAGTTTCTCCACCTGCTCCAAGTACTCCGATTCCAGCCACGTTTGATTGAGGGCCACCGGTGCATAGAGTTGCTGCTGGACATAGGCCTTCCAATCGTCGTCGCTCTGGGGTTCCAAGAGCACATGCGTGGCCGCCATTCCCTCGTTGTGGAGGATTATGGATCGCTCGAAGCGTTGGTTGTCCTTTTCCGGCCTAAAATGATCCTTCAATGCCTGTTCCATTAGCTGCACACCATTCGAGTGACTCGGATCCAACTTTCCAGTCATCACCATAACGTTCTCCGTCTTTAGTTCGCTCTGAAGATGATTCTCCAGCTCCCGAAGCTGCTCCTGATCCTCATCCAAGATCAAAGCAAGGGATCCAGCGGCCAGACGCCTGCAGAACTCCACTGCCAGGGATTGGCCCAATGGATTTGAGCTGCCACTCAACACCAAAAAGGTGCGTCTATTTAAATCCATTCTTTTTGCTGCCATTATTTCGATTTGAAGGATTTCGGGTACTTGAGGATTTCGGGAACTGAAGAATCTACCACTTGTGTTCACTTGAAGCTGTACGACTGTACTGTTGCCTTATTTCCACCGAGCTGTGCCAACTGGACTCTGTTTTGGACTGATAAGCTATATTCCGATTCCGATTGGTCAAGTGTGTGTATATATATATATTATTTATATATATATATATATATATATATATTAATGCTCGGCCGAGCAACTCAGGTTCCGATTCCGTATATAGAAGCGTTCTGGACTGGTGGGGATGTCAGCTTGGGGCTTTTATACAACCCAATCAGCTGATAAGCCGGGGTTCAGGCGTCTGGTCTAGTCTTGTTGCCGGGCCATTAACCATTTGTAATGTTTGGGATTTCGGCACCGTAATCCGGACCAATTTGGCGTCGTTTAACCTCTGGAATCTAGTGGAGTGGTGTGCCCATATTACGCATCGGGGGCAAACCTGATAAGTATAAACATTTTCGTTAATATCCTTACGAACCAAATGTTGCATGGGCTTTAACATGAAATAAACTTGGCATGGCATTTTATTTTGGGAATAATTGCCATATTTTTTGCACAGAAAATCGTGTTCGTTTGGAAAGTTTTTAGAATAATTCCAAGCCCCTCTTGGCTTGGCCACTGTTGCCCATGAGCCAAAAAGCTGATCGATTGTCATCTTGGGGTTCATAAAGTTCCTTTGATATGGCTCTTAGTCAAGGTTGTATTTCTAGTGCAAGAGATTAACCAAAGAACAAATCAGTTGGCAACAATCAATAGTGTAGCACAGATGGGGGCAGTATTGTATGGGCAGTAGAATAGTACCCATCTTATAGTGTCGAAGCAAAGCACATTCTTCTTCGCTAAACAAATAAAATAAATATCCATCATAAGTCTCCATGCAAGTAATACTGCTTTCCTATTAAATGTACATAGGTATATATATTTTCCGAATGATCTAACAGGTTATCGCATTCAGTCGTTGAACTTCCGTAGATGAATAAAGTGCAAATGCATTTGCATTACATAATATTGACCTGTGAATTTGATAAGAAGCCTATCGATTAGTCAAAACACATGTGAATTAATTAAAGTGTTTTTACTAAACATCACTCAAATCGCATGCCCGAAGATAACGTAAGAAACGTGTGTCAAATGGATTTTCCATACTTCTTAACAACATTATCGATCGGAAGGAAAGTGCTTTAAGATCTTTCTTTCGATAGGCGGCAGTGTTTCCAGAATTTGTTGTTTTGACTAGAAATTTGCGCCAATAACAAGCTCGAATTAGGTTAATGGCCTTATTATATTTCGATGGAGTCTGCTCCCGATTCCCGGGTCGTTTTGAGATGACGCTGACCTATTTAGAAATCGGGAACGGAACGCAGTTCTAATCACAGTTCTACTTATTAAGCTCACATTCCCCATTCAAATTTAATGGTAGAAATATATAGTATGGTAAATGATCAAATCATTGAAAAATAGAAACAAGATATTTAACAAGACATTTAGAGGTATGCCACTTAAAAATCCGATTAAGATAAGTTGAGTTATGGAGTTTAGAACTTCAGCCTTAGGACATTTCTTACTTTTTTGAATTTCTACAACATCTACATCAAAAAAATTACAAAAAAATTTAAAAAAAAATAAATTTCTAAATTTGAATGCAGATATTTAGAGCATTTCGCCAGAAACATTTAGAGGTATGCCATTTCAAAATCCGATTACGATAAGCTGAGTTATGGAGGTTAGAACTTCAGCTTTGGGACATTTCCTTTTTTTTTAAATTTCTACACATCATTCTACTTCATATTATATATTTATATATTTTAAAATAAAACCAATTGCAGCACACATACACTACCAGAAATATCAAAAATATACCTACATATGTGCCTATCTTGATATCTTTGTACTTAAGCTGGTTGATAAAGACCAGTCTTGAATGGCTGGAACATTTTGTGTACAAGAAGTTTGTAGTGCTCTACTACCTAGTACCTACTTCATTGTTAGCCACTCTCACATGGTATCGTGCAAAGTTCTTGGAATTCACCAATGAGTAGTGGGTAAAGCATCACATCTGTCTCTTTATGTTGATTTAGGGGTATTATCAATACCAAGCGGTGCTTTCAAACCGAAGCACGTAGCATCGCAGCTTTAGTGGGCAGACGGGGACTTAATGGAAAGCAAAATTCGAACAGGCTATGCCTGAAAGTGACCCTGTCATCCGATCAATGTCGATCAGCGGGAAAGTGACCCCAAGAAGATTTCATTTAGCTGGAAGAAAGAGTGAAGATTTCATTCACCTCGGCCAAAATCGAGAGCAAAACACAACTGCGGAAAACTAATGCATGAGCACAGCTTTCGGCGATCTTCGGTTTTCGGTTTTAATCACGGTTATATAAGCCGTGTGGACCGCTCCCACAGTCAGTCCAAACTTTTAACGAGCCAAGAACACAGTGATCCGATAAGAACCTATACAACATGTTAGCCTGCAAGCTTCTTCTCGCACTGGTCATGGGAATGCACTGCATTCAACTGGTAGGAAATTCAAATAAGATATATCTATACGTCGATTAGTGTTGATTTGTAAAAAGAAAAAAGATTAACAATGAATAAGCTTTCTTACGAACTGATCAACACTGCTTGGTACAGTGATTTCAAAAGTTTAATGGTGATTTAGAACACTGTTTAGTAGAGTGCTAACAAAGGATAAAATAATTTTCCGTGAATATAGAGTTCTAATAACAACAGGATGAAACAAATGAAAGGATCCTCCTAATTAATGCAGCCTGCTTATAATTGAAGTTGGAGATAAGGACGTAATAGACATATATTTAAGGACAGAACCGATAAAATCCAAGTACTATACTCAACTACCATTATTCTTACAGATAATGGCGGCCTGCGTGTGCTCCGAGAAGGGAACGGACTACTGCCAGAGCTGCCAGGGAGCCACAGTGATCCGGCCAAAGCCCCGATACTACGAGCCCAGTGACGTGAACCTCTCGCCGATCGGGGACAACTGCTGGTGCAGCAAACAGCTGATCGAACCGGCCCAACTGCCAAAGACCTGCGGAAAAGTACGTGAGCTCTTCCAGTACATGAACGCCTTCAACAACCTCTTGGGCCGTCGGATGCTCGAGGGCGCCATCGAAGCCAAGACGCTGGCGGCACAGCGTCTGGCCGAGCGGTTGCAGCGTCTGGAGCGGATCGACTGCTTCAAGAGGGGCGCCTCTGGCCATCGCTATCAACTATAATCATCCATGACTAATCCAAATGCACATCCATACCCAAAACCAGTGACGCCGACCCAGAGTTTGAAAATATCATGTACAATTTCAGTTTTACACTTCGTATATAGTAGGATGCATAGCTTCAATAAGTTACTACATTTTATATGACACACTTAGTGAGTTAATCCCAATAACTGAGCAGATGTAGCTTCAAATCGCAGCCCATTTGTAACTTAGCATAAAGTTGCCTATATCATAAACATTAGCATTAGTTTCGACAGCTGCAATCTGCATCCAGTGGCAGTGGCATTCATCCAACGTCATCCCGCCCAGCTGCAGTAACGATTTCCGCATCGACCATCATTATCATCGCCCCAACTTTGCGTCACCATGATCGGAACACAGCATCGTCATCCAAATGCATGCAAACCGCCTCATATATCGCCGCGTACGTGCTCCTAAAAACCAAGAGCTATGCGGAGCGATAGAACCCATTTAGATACACCACCCACCGATATCCGCACCGAAACTGAACTCTCGATTTGATCAATCCACACAGACCACGCCGTGCAAGCCCACCTGCTCGTGCCAGCAGATCAGCTCCGACAGCAGCTACGCCTCCTCCTCCAGCTCAGGATCCGCCTACGGACAGTGAGTGAAATGAAACCTTAACAACGTACGATATTGTAGAATCTAATCACCGCCGATCTCCTCCAGAATCGATTATGCCGCAGAGAAGACGGTGGACAACAGTCCGGCAGCGGATCCCATCAGCGTGAGTCTGGCCGCCCAGGCCGGTAAGGCCATCAATGTGCCGGAGGCCAAGTTGGCCTACGGATTTGCCCAGAAGCCCGTCGACGGTGAGAAGAAGGTGGTGTTCTCCAACGTGCCCGAGGAGAATCTATTCAAGCTGAAGAGCGACGTGATCACGCTGAAGAAGCGCACCTATGCGACCAAGCAGGAGGACGAGGAGGAGTACGCCGAGGAGGAGCAGGAGCAGGAGCAGTCCTCCGATGATGAGGAGGCGCCGCAACTAACCTACAAGCAGCTGGGCTACATCACCGAGCAGTACAAGAACCCCAAGTTCCGGAAGATCAGCAGTTCCAGTTCCAGTTCCAGTTATGGGTACAAGGATTCCAGCGAGAGCAGCTACGGCAAAGTGGCCGGCAAGGTGTCCGTGGACTGTGGCTTCAAGCCCGGCCGGATCACCTCGTACCGGAAGGCAAAGCGGGAAGAGTCCGAGGACGGATACTACTGAATGAGACCCATCCAATTCCAATCCTTCCGTTTGTAAATATGTATATACGCCAAGGAGGGAATGGATGTTTGCCTAAGTTAGTCCTAAAAAATATATAATATATTTGTACAAAATGCACAGCAAGTGGTTTTTCCCAAAGATGTTTTAATACTTTTAACTATTTGATAGTAACATAGCCACTAAGGCACGTTTCAATTGTTTTAATTGTCGCATAAGTGGCTCAATAGGCCGCAAAAAATTGGAGTGGAAGTATTTTACTATGCAAGAAAGTTTTATTGAAATATATTTATACGAGTGTACCGCTATAAATAAACTGTTAAGTGTAGTTTAAAAGTATTACAGCATCATTAAGTCTTTAAGATATTCCCACGACACACCATTTGACTTATTTGTATAACGACCTGCACGATTACAGTTGAACATATCCACTAAAGATTTAACACTTTTTGATAGTTAGTAATAATGTGCGTAACTCCTAAATGAATGTCATCTAACGGGGCATACTGTATAAGAAAATATTTGCTTATAGATCAACCAACATTTTTATAAGCTGGCATCATTTTAAATCGTTTACAGAATGCGATTAAAACTAAAATGTGCACCTTCGGCGCGCATTGGCGAAGCTCCACTGTGGCAATTCTGGGTTTGGCGTTTGGATCTCAACCCATCGAGACACTCGACACTGAAGAAAGCGGCGAACGTCGGGAACATGACTTTTAACGGAAAACATGACCCGCGAAGTATTTGAAAAGGTCAGCGAAAACAAAAACAAACAGAGTGGCCAAGCCGGCGTCTCTGGGGAAGAAGACCTTGCCCAAAGTCAAGAGCATTGGGGTCCGCGTGCTGGGCAAGATGATATAAAGAATGTGACGGTACATTCTGCGGCTAGTAGCCAGCAGGGCACACAATCGAGCAGATCTAACCGAGATGCGATACTCCATAGCAATGATCCCCATTCTGGGACTGGTGCTCGTAGCGCTGGTCCACACCGCACCCGTGGAGGTGGTCTATAGGGGCGAAGGCTGCGCCTGCCCCACCCAGCTGGGTTACCAGCTGAATGTGCCCAATACCCCCAAGCCGAGGAAGTATGTCGGTGGCGAGTACGGCTATCGGGTGGAGAAGCCCGTCCAGACGAAGGCCAAGATCACCTACAGCTTTGACTTCACTGTGGAGCAGCCCAGGACACCGGCGCCGCCCAAGAACAATCCCGCCAAGCTGTACGCCAAGGTGGACCGGATCCAAGTCAACAAAGCGGGTAAGGGTCGATGAGAAAGTTATCTTAGGCGGACAGTTCTTTAAAATTGTTTGATATTCAACAAGTTGTATAAGTCATTCCTAAAAGTTCGATACTAACCCATAATATATGTTCCACAGATTGCCAGGCCAAGAACAAGTCCACATGCGGCTGCTCGAGTTGCTCCGGCCAAAAACCCAGGTACGTAGCTCCACCGGTCAAGTCGCCGAACGCCATTCGTCGTCGCAGGGATCTTCGCCAGCCTGGTTCGCTGCTCCGCCGCCGGCTCATGCGGCAACAACAGATCCAGGAGCGTCCGCCACGCTTTGTGAAGCTGTACCACAAGGATTTGACTCCTGCCCAGGAGAAGCATCAGCTTAAACTGTTTGGCCTGTTCCCCGTGGAGTCACCAGAGTCGGTAGCTGACGCGCCCAAATCCAAGAGAAAGACAAAGAAAACCCAGCCGAGCTGGATGGGATTGGGACGGCGTTTAAAAAAACGAGATATTAAGGGAGAGTTCGATCTCCTGGAGCAAGAACGATCCCAGATCGATCTGACTGCACCGGAAATAATCCAGTTCATGCCCGAGACCCTGAATCCGGACTTTAGGCCCGGTCAGTGCCACATGGGCTGTGGAGCGATGACAGCATCGGCACCGCCACCAGAAGAGCCACTGCCCAAGGAGGAGCAGGTGCCTCACACGGCGCATACTGCTGAAACGGAACCGCCAGAGCAGCTGAACTCGATTCCCTCCAAGAGGGCCGCATTTGGTTACTATCCTCTGCAGATTCCCTCGCCACTGGGCCGCCAGGAGGACTACAAGTTCGTGGACGACTCGCAAATTAGGAGCCTGCTGTCCACCACTTCTGTGCCGGATCCGCAGGAGTACAGCTCCACACCGCTGCAGTTTGCCGGTGACTTGGAATCGATCACAAGAAGATCCCATGGGGCGCCTCATGCCAGTCTGGGCGGTGGCTATCCCGTGGAGCATGTTTCCGACTCCCAGCTGGACAGCATTATCTCCGGGATAGTATACAATCATCCTGGCTACGATCACTACTCCACAGAGGGCAGTCTGGTCGATCCGGAGCCCATTCAAAAGCAACAGACAACAGATTTTCTCAGGAAACTCATTGATGGCCGCCTGGGCGGCTGGGGCTTCGATCAGGCACCAGAAACCGAGCATAGTTTACGGAATGATTACTCCATACAACCGGCCAAGACCTATGGCTACAATAGCCACACGCAAAATGGCTACAGCATAGACACTTATAATGCGCCACCCATCACGGATTACCTGAGGGCCTGGTTCTAGTGCCCAAACTAGCCAACATAAAATACATAGTTTTAGAACTTAGTGTACACAAAAACCAAAGAACACAGAAAATCATTTACGAAAAGTTCGCAAAAAAATAGTAATAATAGAATATATTAAACTGAAAATACTTTGTGGTGTTTCTTTCTTTATTCACCCACCGCCTTCGTCTTTCTTCTCTTTGCAGCTACGAAGACGCGGGCTACGGCTACTGAAGAGAGGTCTTACCAATATAAAAACCGAAATTAAAACCAAAACTCCAACCCGAGAGCAGCCCAACCCATCGGTATGCTGAGCTCGGCTTAAAATCCAGCGGAAAGTAGGCCAGTGGAGCACCATCCGCTTTCGGGCCCAAATTCGCTTGTATATATGTATCTACATGTACTATAGTTACCACGATGATCTGTTTTCAACCTCCGATTTCTGTTTACGTTTTCCGCTTTTGTCGGCACTTCAAGAAGTTGCCCCAATTAACTGGCTAATAAAGTGTTTGCTTGATAACCAGTGCTCGATTCGATGGTTTTGGGTTCCATGCTGCACCATGGTGGGCTTGGGTTGTGCTATATGATGCCCCTAAAAGTATGCCCCGGAATTAGATATACTAATTTCAGCCAGCTCGTAATCCCAAGCATTTGAAATTGCATATATTTTTGGTAAGAAATCGCTTTTTTAGGTATTTATTTAACTAAAATATGATATCGACAATTCTTCTATTTTCTACATTGCAACTATAATGCATTAAAGGCTTTAGCTTACTTATCATCAAAGAGCCGAAAAATATAAAGATCGCGCATTTATCACGATCTGTCAATGGCCAAATATTTTTTGTTCTGCATAAACAAATGGTTCATCATTCAGCGACAAAATTCTTGCGATTGCATGCAATTGAAAAGCCAAAAGATACTAAGATACTCGCCGCCAAAAACGACAAAAAACTCGCTGAGCTTCGTGACCATAAGAGCAAAACATTCTAGAAGAAACTCGAGATTCATGATTACTGAATAAATTTAAATAAAGTAACTGTATGAACTGTTTAACTTCATGCACTTTTTAAGGTTAAAACTTGTAATTTCCCTTGCTTGTTAATAAAATTGAAATGTTTTACTTGCATGACATTTCCTATATGTCCTATATATTTCCTATATTCATTTAGGCTTCTTTCAAATGTACAACAGTAAAGCAGAACTCTACTCACTTATCCCTTGATTCAATAAGTATGAATACGTATGAATAGTTAATTGCCTGAATTTTGCATAATGCACTTGGGTTCGAATACGATGTAATTCGAAGACCTTGTATTTCGGCATGTCAACAAGGTTTTACAGCATCCAATTAATGGCACATACACCCATTACAATCAGCTAAAGAATCGTTAATTTATTGTGAACCCATTGACAAGTGCCAAAGAATTCAAATGACCCTGGCTCTCTTTTTTTCTCTGACGCATCAAGATCACTGGAGATTCGTGGATGAGACATCTAGTGCATATGGCATATCTGGTTATAGATCACGTCCCGGCACGCCATTTTTTTTACCCGAATCGAGATAGTTTTGGGGGTATTTAAGTGGATTCCATGGGAGCCGGGGCCCTCAGTCGAAATGGCAGCCGACGGCAGTTGGCCCATACTACTCTTGTTGGTCTCAACACAGGCCATTATTCACGCAGCGGTGGGTTTCTTGCATATACATTGTAAATACATGTACTACATGGTACACACATTATTTGTATAGAATCTGAGTGAGTCCACGCCCGGCCCTGAGGAGGAGGTCAATGTGAGCACTACTACGGGTGCGCCGCTGGAGGAGACCACCAAACGCTTGGACGCTCGGGCTGAGCCATACGATAAGGGCGATCGGGAGCAGTACGATGTGATCGATGTATCCAGCGTCACGGGCACGGCGGTGGGCAGGCCCAAGAGTGGCCAGACCACAAGGATCTACACCACCGGCGATGTGGACGAGAGCTTCTGGCTGAAGCACCTGGGCGATGACTTCAAACATGCCATCCATCTGCAGGTGGGCGGCATCAACGAAGAGTACAATCACCTGATCAACCGGACCCAGAACGGTGTCCATGAGGAGGTGCACCACGAGTATTTACCGGGTGCCGAGCGACCTGGCGGCGCAGTTCATCCACCTTCTCCTCCGCCTGTGCCCCAGCAATCGCGTCCCGCTTATCGTCAGGGTTTCGACCACCGAGCCGTGGCCATGAAACAGCAGTATCTCATCCATCAGCAGAGCCAGCAGGCACATCCCGCCCAGCAGCGCTATAACTATGCCCACCAGCACGCACAACACTACGCACCACAACCACAGCAACAACCACAACCACAACCACCACCACAACCACAATACCCACAATACCCACAACACACACCACACAGACACACAAACACTTACGCAAAGCCGCAGAATTATGCGCCCCAAGATTATAAGCGCCCGAGTTATATCATCAACTCTAGCGAGGATCAGTTGCATGCCGAGCAATCGAATCCCTCGCCGATAAAATCAGCTGGGGAGGATCAGCCCCATCACGAGGAGGAGATGGACTCCTTTGGCGGCCAGCTCAACTTCAAATCACCCTTCAATGACTACGGCAGTCGCCCAGCGCGAGATCTTACCTATCTTCTCTTCAAGCGGGGTCTCTAGAAGTAAGATCCACGTCATGCCAAACCAAAGACTTGCGGTCTCCAGTCCATTGAGTTCTATAAATGCGGCTGAGCCACTCACACCACCCATCCACACACAACGCAACTCACCACACAACACAACACAACACGAACACACAACACGAATCACACAAACACTGAGATTAAGGAAATTATACAAAATAATAATAAACTAAATAAAAAATACTTTAAAAATGGTTGTGTCTGGATTAAAATACCATAAGGTCATTCGAGCTTATCAGGAAAACATTTTCAGTGACTACCCAACAAGTTTCAATTAAATTAAAAATTTACTGTCATTGTTTTGGTATTTAGTAATAAGTTGATAGGCTTCAAATATGTTTCAGCTTTAACGATAAATTATTGCATTTTAAATTGAGACGAAACGATCCAACTAAAATATTACACTAATAAATGTAAGAGAATTTGTGTACCGAAATATATGCTAATTAGTTTATAAAATAAAGAGAGAAATATGTAAAATGTTTTAATATTATTAATTGTTAATAATATTCCAAGAAATAATATGGTTTGGAACTGCACCGAATGAATTCGATTATAAATGAACTTATATACCATGTTCTTTAGTTTACATGTTATAATTTTCTCGGAAATTTTTACAAATTTATCTCTTCACATATCGTAGGAGAAATATATTATCAGTTTACGAGAAAATCTTTAAATTTGGATGAAATCTCTTTGATTGCAAAACTGTGCAGAGGGCATGGGTATGTGTCCTAATTTTATGGGCAAATGACAAAAATGAAAAAATCAAGGAGAATAACTTCAACCCAAAGGCATTGCAGAGAGGAAATCAGGAGCCACTCCCCGAAACAGTAACCATCTCCATAAAGCCACCCAAAACGAGACGCGTTGGCATTGTCGATCTCTGGGTCCGATCGCTGGAAGAACTATGATTCAAGCCAAGGGAACCGCCACAAATAGAAGATTGCGACGGGCGGAAAGCTGGTGCACCGCGGTGCTTAGGAGGTTGGTTGTCTACAGATCTGGGCACGATGGCGAGACAAAGATGCGGCGCAAAATCGGAAATGGAAATGGATCACGTAGCCGGCCATGGCGGGCAGCGATTATAGGCGCTATAAAGAGCCGGAGTCATCGCCAGACACCGAGCAGTAGACGATCCACACGTAAACGGCAACATGCAACTCGGTCTCTGGTTTGGCATTTTGGCCATCGCCGCCACGCCGGTTAGTAGCCAGGTCATCCATGGCATTCGCATTGGTCATCCCTCTAATCTCTCAAACTCTCTCTGTCTCGTTTCCTCCCTTAGCTGGTGAGCGCTAATTATGGTCCCGCTGGCGGACACGGACACGGACATGGCCATGGACAGTACCTGGCCGGTCCCAATGCCGGACTCGAGGAGTACGTGAATGTGGCAACGGGCGGCAACCAGCCGTCGGCCAATCAGATCGCCTCGCAGGCCGAGATCCAGCCCACGCCGGAGGAGGCCCGCCGTTTGGGTCGCGTCCAGGCCCAACTCCAGGCCCTGAACGCCGATCCCAACTACCAGAAGCTGAAGAACTCCGAGGATATTGCCGAGTCTCTGGCCGAGACCAATCTGGCCAGCAACATCCGCCAGGGCAAGATCAAGGTGGTGTCGCCACAGTTCGTTGACCAGCATCTGTTCCGCTCCCTGCTGGTGCCCTCGGGCCACAACAACCACCAGGTGATCGCCACCCAGCCCCTGCCCCCAATCATTGTCCACCAGCCCGGCGCACCGCCAGCCCATGTGAACAGCGGCCCACCGACTGTGGTGCGCGGCAATCCGGTCATCTACAAGATCAAGCCCTCGGTCATCTACCAGCAGGAGGTGATCAACAAGGTGCCCACTCCGCTGAGCCTCAACCCCGTCTACGTGAAGGTCTACAAGCCTGGCAAGAAGATCGAGGCCCCACTGGCCCCGGTGGTTGCCCCCGTCTACAGCCAGCCCAGGGAGTACAGCCAGCCCAGGGAGTACAGCCAGCCCCAGGGTTATGGTAGCGCCGGAGCTGCTTCCTCCGCTGCCGGTAGCGCCTCCTCCGCCGATGGCAATGCCTACGGCAACGAGGCCCCACTGTACAACAGCCCCGCGCCCTACGGCCAGCCCAACTACTAGGTGGTCAGGTCATCCTGGGCACGGGCTGCGGCTGCTCCTCAGCTGCGACAGCTGGCTTAATTTAAATTTTTGTTTTTTTTTTCTTTGCCAACTACTGAGCGCAAATAAATGAAAAAATACTTGAAACGTAAACGTTTTGTCATCCAAAGTTTTTGACCAGAAGGGGCTACAAAGTGGCAACGAAGCTGTTATTAAGTATATCTTCATAAATATACAAAAGCAAACAATTGTTACAAGTATCAACAGTTTTCTTAAACTATAAATAATAGAGGGAATTTGGTCGAAGTATGAACATAAAAAGCATGAACAAGAGTTTTTCAAATATTTTATAGATATGATCCACGACATGGTACTTATTTTATGACAGATAATTTGCAAGATATTGGTTATCAGTATGATAACCATTGTCATGATAATCATTATCATGAATTTCACACTCTTGTGATGGTATTTTTACTGCAGTTATCATTTAAATATAAGTAATGGGATCAAAAGGTCATCTTTATCTACAAATTGTTCATTCTTAAGAAAACAGCTATAAATAATACAGAACCCAGCATTAATGGAGCAATTAATATTGTTCACCATCTTTTCTCTCAAACAAAGACTTAATTTTTTGGCATGAAAATAACATCTCCAAGCTTTTCAATACAAAACATTCAATTTATATTACAGATTTATAGAGAGCAATATTAATATCATAATAATTACAGATATCTTAGCTGTTTATAGGCTCTTAAATTCAAAAGATCATCTTGAACTCTCGTTGCAATCAGAGATTTCTTTTGTCTGACTATTAAGTATGCTCTTTTACATATACACTGAAGGCTCTACCAAATTAATGTTTAATTCGAAAAATGTTATTCTCCAAACTATGTTATCGCATATTTGCAAGGAATTCTCCGTGCCTGTGCCCAATTTGGACAATCGAATCGTTGCAATCCGCGTGAAACTCAAGGACTTTAAGTGGGTAATCATTTCCCCCTGTCCACTTACACCGCGAATTGGCTCTTACTCCGACTCCCGAGTCTTGTGTCTGCCAATGCGGAACTATTTTCGCTATCTGAGCAGACGTTCGGACCTCGATATGCGGCGGAGATTCACAGCCCGGCTGTTGATTCCGACTTGGTCGCAATGGGTTCGTTGTTATTGTAAGATGGGCAATGGGTAACCGGGCAGTGGGCAGCGGGGTTTTTGTGGTTGTGGCTTCTACGTAAGTGGAACAGACGCCGTGATATGCGCTGGCAGCGATGCGTGCGATCTATCAGCATTTGGCCATGTTTCGCTCGCATCGCGTGGGTCCGGAGCGGAACAGCCGGCACCGGAGTTGGCATCAATCCAAATGTCACGTACCCGGAGCCGGAGACGCGTCCGGAGCATATTTAAAGTAGTCGGCCACCAATGGAGGGCAGCAGAAGACAGCAGACAGTCCAAGTGGGAGCACACCAGAAGCCAAAGAGCAACTGGAACTGCAACTGGGAGTCAAGATGACGAGATCGACCTACATTTGGGCGCTGGCCGCCTGCCTGATCGTAAGTTTTAAGCTGCTCGAAATCTTAGGATTAATCCCAGACAACGAACTGTTCCATTCTGGAACTCTACAAGTTGGCTGCTTTCGTTGTCCCATGTAAATCGTACTTCCAATTTATTTACTTGATATAGACTCCCAGCTATATGATCTCAAACATCAGCTCACTATAGCACTTGAATACCTCAAATGATTAGCGAATTCTAACCCGTTTCCTCATTTCTCCCTCATTTGTTATTTTAGGCCTGTGCGAGCGCCAACTACGGCAGTTCCCAGGGCTATGGACCCGAGTCCGGAAACGGAGTCGCCGATGGCGGTGCTGAAGCCGCAGCTGCTGCCGGCGGTGCCGGCGGAGCTGGTGGCGAGTTCGGTGGTGCTGGCGCCGGTGCTGGTGCTCTCGAATCCGGAGCCGATGCCGCTGGCGTGGCACAGGCTGGCCAGAGCAGCTACGGCTCGGACCAGAACATCCCGTACAAGCCGGTGAACACCAAGGGCAACACCCTGACCTCATCGATCACCTACCCGCAGAACAAGGGAGAGATCCTCATCCATCGTCCCGCACCCATCATTGTCAAGCGTCCGCCCACCAAGGTGCTGGTGAACCATCCTCCATTGGTGGTGAAGCCCGCTCCCGTGGTGCTCCACAAGCCCCCAGCAATCGTTCTCCGCAAGGTCTACGTCAAGCACCACCCACGTCGCGTCAAGGTGGAGCCCGTGTTCGTCAATGTGGTCAAGCCCCCAGCAGAGAAGTACTTCGTTAACGAGAACAAGCAGGGCTACGGACAGGGCTCCCAGTCCCACGGACACGGCCATGGACACGGTGGCCATGGACACGGACACAACGGACACGGACACGGTGGACACGGTGCTGGACCCCATGGTCCAGGACCCCATGACGGTGGCCGTGCCCTGCCCGCCTACGCTTCGGGAGCTGATTCCGCCGCCGCCAGCGCTGGCTACCAGCTGCTCCAGAGCGGTAACCAGGGTCTGTCCGCCCTCGCCAGCATCGCCGGCGAGCGTGAGGGTCCCTATGGTCCTGGCCCAAGCCAGCAGCACTATAGCGCCGGTCCAGCCGGACACGATGGCTATGCTGCTCCCGCCTATTAGGTGGCAAAAGCGGAGAAGTTACGGATTGGATGACTGCTGTGGCTCCGGAATTACCTGAAGCGGCTGTTCAGTCATCCGCTTATCCGGCTGATTTACGTTGTTTTTACAAAACACAGCCTGATCGTTCAACGCCCATGCCCACGCCCACACATGCACACCCCATACCACCCACCCACCCATTTAACGGCTAAGGGGGGCCTGGCATTCAGGTTTCTTTGCAAACAAATAAAAAATTTGAAAAAATTATATAAAAGCTGACTGTTGTTCGTTCTTCAGAAAGGTGAAATATGGTGAAATACGGATTATATTTAATCAAAGTACCTTTACATCACATCTCTAGCGATCTGGAAGATCTGTAGATCGACTTGGGAAAGTACTTGATTCAGTCAATTCGATGAAGAGATCCCCGTGAAAACATAGGCAATATTAAATATTCCTTATTTTAACTGGACTGTATTTTAAAATGGTCTCTAACTTTTCAACGATATAGTACCAAATACTATTTGTATTATTAGCGGATATCAGTGCCCCTAAAGTACATATATGTGATGAGAATCGCTTTAATATTTGTAGAGAACGAACTTACATTATTCGCAGCAATGAGTGTCGCCTATAATACAATAAATCCACAGCGCAGGCTGTCATTACACATATCGGTTGTCCTTCCCATTGTTGTGCGGGATCCCATCAAATTCCACGCAATGTTCAATAACAAACGGGCGGCAAACTTGACGGTAATAATATGTAATATAAAGAAGCGATCGGTTGATGACAGGTGCAATCGCAATGTAGGTCGCCAGTGCCGCCCATTTGGCAGTTTGAAAATTCAGCATAAAAATGCGATACCTTTGCACAGAGATTTCAGTCTGTAAGCAGAAATAAATTGAGAGCGTTAATAAAATAACCAACTAAACAGAATTGCTAAAGCGAACAAGAACAAATCGGTTTCAAGTTCAAATAATTTTTTTTTTTTTGCGAACACTTTTCGGTAGTATAAAACAACAGAGGCGAAATGAGTCAGTTATGCTTCCTTGTAATAGGATTGTGTTTCGCATTCATGGCGCTCTGTTCTGGTCAAGTTAGTATCTATTTTAAAACAACTGATATGTAATCGAAAAATGTACAATCAAGTATAACATATAAAATCAAAATCTTGTGCAGGGTATCACAGAAAATCCCTATAACCGAAATTGTCACTGGGACATATATTGCTTATTGGCCGATTCTAAGTAAACATACCATACAGGTACGTCACTAAAATTCCAAATTTAAATACTTATATGTACAACGATTTCGATGATACCATTTACAGTGATATTGTGATATTCTATGCAAAGTTCAATAGTACTACAGTCTATTTTGCTCCAGTTGTTTTGTAATTTTCAGCATTAGATACTTATTTTCTGAATTTCTTGAACTAGCCATCATCAAAACGGATAATGGAAAGCAGCATGGACGCGTTGCACTCCTTAACTCAACTCATCATTAGCATTATCGATGGTTTTAACATGGGCTAGTTCTAGCACGATAAAGTCGATAATTGAACTCATTTTTAATGTACTACACTCTAAAGTAAAGTAGTGAATTTCTAAAGTTCTTAGTTGTACATTTTTTTTTGTTGGAATTTTGTTTTTAGTTAATTTGATGTAATATGTTACAATATAAACCAATGCATTAAAAAGCTATCTGCTTATCAAAAATAACAGCGTTTTCCTGAACTAAAACATGAACAACTTTCGTTTTTCTCATACAAACAATTGTAACTTCAAAGCCAGCACATAAAATATAAGCGATATTTTACAATGAAATTAAAGGATTAAATCAGAGTTCCTTATCGTATGGAAGATCAGCGTCGATGTGATGTTACGAGGTGAACCAAAGCAATCCAATCCACACCTTTTGTTTGCTATCTGAAATCGCGAAGAAAGACGAGAAATACCACGTAATTGCAGCACCTGCATGTCTTTTGTACATCTTTTGTCTTTTGCGTTGCACTCGAATCTTGTTTTATTTATGGTTAATTGTATGGTACAGTTTACATAGGTGAGTCTCTAGCCGAACAGCGAGTACATAAATATATATACGAGTTTATAGAGTTTTAGTTGGAAGGGTTTTAAATAAATCATATAAATAGTTGGTTCTTTGATTTCGTGACGGCTACCTTTAAAAAAAATCGCATAAAATTACGTTAAATTACAAGTTTAAAATGAAGTTAGGTTGACATTTACGTTAAGTTATGCAATCGATTGTTGTACAGCAGCTGTATGGTTGGTTTATGATAGAGCGCCAACGACCAGGTGGCCTATAAAATGTTAACTACAATTTTAAAAGTGAGATTAAATTTAAAAGACGTTAATTGCAATGGAATGGAACGCCTTCGATCTGTAAGGCCTCTCTCTTAGAAGTGATCTACTTTACCCCCACCCCAACCGCTTTTTCAGTGATGACGCGGTGCAGCATAGACAGCTGCAGGCTGAGATTGGACGGGTACGGGAGCTGGCGGCAAGGGGGCTGCCTGCTGTTGTTGTGGCTGAGCCGACGACTCCATGTTATAGTTGTTGATCACCTCATAGGGGGCCACCACCGGAGCTGCCATGCCCCAGGCATAGGGATTCTGAAAGTGGGTGAGTGTGGATAAGGCCAGACCATATAGAACTATTTAATGGGTTAGTATGTGCATCCCTCCTACCTGTCCTTGAGCTGCTCCCGCTAACTGAGTTGGTCCCGCCTTGTGGAAAAATATCGGTGGCGGTGGCGGCGGTTGGAGCAGCCTAGGCGGCGACATCATGTGATGATGCGGCGATGGAGAAGTGTAGAAGCTAAACTGACTGCCACTTGAGCTGGGCGAAGGCGTGGGAGTGGGCAAATAGGACGCCGGCCCCAGCGGATCCTTAATATCTTGCAGTTGATCTGGACGTTTAACGCGCATCTTGGTCGGATTCAAATTGCGCTTGGCGTATGGGGTTTTCTCCAGCGGTGAATGCTCCGTGGCATTTACCACCTCTGGCGAAGGTGGTGGTGTAGACTCGGCAGACAAATGGTCCTCTGTGCCTCCAGTTCTTCCCACCTGTTGGTCCGTGTTGTTCTGCTGGTGGTATCCAAATATCGCAAGATCATCAGGCGGTGTGTGGTGGGCCATGCGCCAATGCATATCCACGCCCATATTGTAGAAGTATCTTAAAGTTATCATATCCACTGGCAAATCCTCACCGTTGAGGTGTATGGAACGACGTGGCTCGCCAACTCCGGAAACATTTATCGGTGGAGATGGAAGCGGCATAAATGGATGCGGTCCCGGTAAGGCAACCGCTCCCGGCGGTGGTGGACCATAACCACCAAATGGCATGTAAACACAACCTTCGGTTGGCGGCTGATGCGGGGTTCCAGACATAGGAAACTGAAACTCCTCGGCAAGAGCCATCGGAGAAGAAGGCCATGGTGGCGGAACCTGCCCAGGACGACCCGGAACAATGGGCATATAATTCATATACTGAGTGGGCGGCGGGGCAGCCGAAATTGGAGAATCCTGCGTTTGGCTGGAATTCGAGTTCTGCCGCTGAACCCTGGATGTCTTTGTGCGCTGCTGTTGCTGCTGTTTCTGCGGCTCTTCACGGTCCCGCTGCTCCGTTGCTGGGTTCTGGTCATTATGTTCAGCATCTCTTTGATCGCGCTGCTCATCGTCCTGAATGTGCACCTCCTGATAGCAATTATCCACGGGTATGTAGCCCTGCATCGGCATCAAGTCACACTTGCTGGGCTCAAAATACTGGCCCATTTCGAACAGCTTGTTCTTCTTCCATTTGGTAGGTTTGTTGGCTTTACCAGCAAACTTGGGCAGCGGCAAACGAGTCATCTGGCGTTGATAGCGGAATGGCAACGCCCATGGGCGGTACTCTTCGGGCGGCAGGGGATGGAGCGACTCATAGGGAACCTAAGCCAACAGATAGTTTTCATATTAGTAAGCTCACTATTAAAGCGACAGAGTTAAAGAGTAGCTTCGGATACCGAAGCTGTTCACCCTTGCAGATCTATGTACTAATTTCTTGGATCGAAATAAATATACTAATATTCAACTAATCGTCAACATATTTGACGAGCTGTTGGATAAGATAATCGATTCAAATTCAATTCTTAGCATTTCTCCGCAAGGGCCTGGAAAATCAGATAAAAAAAGGGGTACCACTATCTTTTTGCCAATCGCCTCAACAAAGACGACGCAGTACGTCTTGTCTTCGGAGATGCTTTGAATGTGGCACGTGGGCATCTCCGTTTCGTACTGCAATTCCACCTTGCACTTGGCGCCCACCTGGAAAACAAATGACACGGCAACGAGACGAGGAAGGATAAGGCTAGACATATAAAGTAAAGTATTAAGTGTATCGAGTGTGTAGATGAAAATGGAAGTTAATTTGGATGGGTGGTTGACATGAAACGTGTATGTGTGTGTGTGCGTGTGTGTGTGCTAACGATAATCCAAAGCTCTGCCCAGTTTACCTTAAAGTTATAGTCATTTATGTAGACATTATAGCGCTTGGCCTCCTTGCGCATATCGTTCCAACAATCAAATTCTATGTTCCGATACATATATGGGTCCATGGATTTCGCCACCTTGTAGGGAAACGGAGTGATACCTAAAAGAAGGTAGGTGTGCGGGTTTAGTAAGATTATGTAAATATTTCATTTTGGAAATTCGCTTTACTGACCATCATCCAGCAGCTGGCGGACACAGGACTCCAATCGGTTTGGACACATGGGCAACTGATCGTTTTGTTCGTGGCCAGTATTGCCAGATTGCTTTCGCTCCTCTGGATTTTTAATCTCCCGCCGAGCTCCTTTTCGAGAATTATTGCTCTGATTACCATTGGTGCTATGGAAATTGCACAGCTTATAGTTTTCCAATATACAGTTGGTGTTCCCCGGCAGATCAAGCGTAAAAACTCGTCCATCGGAGCACTGAATGCGAACCATATAGCCCTTGTCATCGAACACCACATCGTACCGATCCCAGTTGAAAGAGTGTGGATGCAACATGATCTCCACAGCAAATGATACGTCTGGCAATTTGAAAAGCTTCTGGTACAGCAACTTAAAGGCGATAGCTGGAAATGCGCACGTATATACATAATAGGCAATATTCTATTTACTAATAGGCTACCTACATTGACAAATGGCGGCCGTTTCTATATACTTTACTTTATACACCGAATCGAAGTGATTCTCAT